CTGTATTGAATGGATAATATTAGTTGAAGGCCAAGGATGAAAGCAGCAATTCCTAGGCAAATGGTGGTTTCAGTGATGAACCACATAATTATGAATACCATATCATATTTTTATCATTATTACAAATTTTTCTTTACCTTATCCATTCCTCATCCCAGGATTTTAATATTTTCTCTAGTAAAAAAAAAAAAGTTATAAAACTAAATGCTGGAAACCAATCATTGCCACTAATAGAGAAATGGGAAAAGGGAATCCGGAAGGCTGGTCAACCTTAATTGCTCTGAAAGGTCGGAGCTAATCACTCACTGTTTAGTTGAGACATTGGTAGTTAAAGCAGCCTCCACCTGTTAATCATATGTAAATTCTTGCTGATTGTCTAGTATTGGAATTTCCTGCTTAAAGGATATGGGTGTATCTCATAACCTTAATAAAAGGGATACCAAAGCCAGATCAGGGATTGTCCTCTCTGTAGAGGTGGGCTCCCACCTGGCCCCCCATTTCCCAAATTAATTCTTTTCTAGCCTCTCTTCATTTTGTATCCGGCCTTCTTCAGGACCCAAACCCTGAACAGGAAACCTGAACAGGAACCCTGAACCACACAGGATGTGAAAGGGGCTCCCACAACCAAAGATGCCTGGAGTACCATATTGGTGGTAACATTTGGTAAGACTCCATTTGACATTTGTCTTTTTATTTGTCTGTCTGTTTGGATGAAGTAATAGTATTTAGGATTGGTGGTGGTCACAACATGAAATATAAAAACTGACCCTAAGTGACTAAGGGTAAAATCCTATCTTTAACAGTGTTGAACTTTGCCCATTAAAAAAATAATAATAATAATAAGGGGCTCTATAAACCCACATCATAAGTATTTAGTTTGCCCTTCATTATCCACGTCTTCTTCCTTTTTTTTTTTGTCACTCATCTACAGGTTGCTATTGTGTGATTAGAAATTTCTTGGCAATTCTAACAATCAATCAGTGTTGCAGGAGATAAAGATCTGAGAACAAGAAGGGTGATTTCACTTGTCAAGCTGGTTGTTCTTTTATAAGGAAAAGGTGATTTCCTTTTTAATGGATTACAACATCAGGAACTGAACAGCTTAGTATAATTTAGTTTAGTTTAAAACATAATTGACAGCCTATACATTACTAATCTTGGGCAATATTCTTATTTGTAGTGTTTGATTATACACTTTATAAAGGTGAACTAGAAGTTCAAGATGTACTCAGGAAATGTGAAATAGATTTCAAAATTCTGTAACTTACAATGGACTATCGTTATTTATGCAGCTGGAAAAAATCAAGAAAATGTATCCCCATTATTTCAAGAATTTGTAAAAGATATAATGTCAAAATCACACTCCCAGGCATTGGTTCAGATTCAACTCAGTGATGGTAGGAAAATAAACCAATATTGTCCCATGCTTGATGAATAGCACCCAGTTGGAAGTTGCAGAGTAGCCAGACAGATCTTCACCAGCATTTCCCTTCTCATTGGTTATCTTTTTTCCTTTTGTAAATATTTTTTCCATATAATGTTAGCAATGTCTGTGATATCAAGCATCATAAATGTGACGTAATGATTCCAAATCTTTATCCATATTTTCAACTTTTTTCAGAGCAGCAGATTTTTATTTCATCTGTCTATCTGGTATCATATTTCTGTTGTATTGCAGTAACTCCATACTTAACATGTTAAACTTAAATCATCACTATATGTTCATTTTGTCTTCTCTCTCTTGTCTAATTGCAATAGCATTCAATATCAGCGTTGATCTCATCCTCTTTCTCTTCTTCATCACATATTAAAACCACCTCAAGTTCCAGCATTAGAGTAAATGTATGTTATTTAATATTGCTCTTACCTCTTTAACCTAGGATAGTCTTTGAGCAAACTCATATTCTCTTACTGCTATTTTACCCTCATTCATTTCTATTTTCTATCAAGTACAGAGTTATTATACTCATTGCTCTTCAAAACTGAACCTTCTATTGTTTTTAAAACATACCCAATATTTGATTATAATCATAGTTCTCTTCAAAAAGCTGTTACTTCAGAAATAATTTCTTCAGTTTCTACTCTACCTGAAAAAATTATAATCATGTTAGTATTTCCAACTCAAAACTCCATAGTTCATTCTTTTCCAGCATTCACATATATGTTTTTAATGTGATTCCATTGAGTATTGCTCATAGTTTTCATAGAACATTGTTTGTAGCTTATGGCATTGCAATTTATGATTACCTATCCTGCTGGGCAAATAGGGAACTATTCTAAGAAAAGAAGTAGTCTTACTCATCTGTTTATCCTCAGGACCTGATTCAATACTAAGTCCTTCCCAATGTCCATTCTCATGATACCCTATAGTTTATTTTCCTCTGCAACACTTGCCATAATTGTAGTGAAATACTTAATTTTTCAATTAGTTATTTAGAATTTGCCTTTCTTGATAGAATAATTCCAATAACTTACATTCATCTCTTCATCCCAACCATATACCATAATTCTAGCAGATAGTAGATAATAAATATGTACTAAATGAATATATGAGTAGAAGTATGTCCATAGTAAGAAACACCAATAATGTAAATATTATTGAGTCTGTCATGTGACAATGATGTAATATCTGCTTTCTATTATATATCCCTTTCCTCCATAAAAATATGCTGAGAATTTAGATGATAGTACATTAATCCATGCCCTATCATATTTCTTACCTATGAAAATATCCTTTAATCTCACTTAATTTATAGTTGTTAAAGGAAATTCTTCCCAATCACTTATTGTCTGAGTAACCCTATGAAAATTAATGACTTTTTCTGGTGCTTTATTTTCCTTATTTGTTAAATGAGAATAAATAATACATTTAAAACTGTATTTCATGAAGATTAAATGGAGTACTGTCAATATCAGCATATATCACATTGCCTATTAATTATTAAGTACTCAGCAAGCAGCCTCCCTCTTCAACACTTTTCCCCCTTGCTTTATTGTCATTTTTCCTTTCTCTCATTTTAACTCTTTTAGAGAACTGTGGCTTATTCATCTTGTTATCTCTAGAAACTAACACTGTTGCTAATAAATAAGTACTCACTAGATCTTGTTGGATTCATATCTGAATTTCTGGAATAGGAGTCCAATAATCTCAGGACCATGTTGACCAGATAAGATAAATTGGGTCATTTACACAGAAAAAAAAAATTACATTTGGAAAATAAAACTATTTTAGTGAAGTTTCATTACTTAATATTTTTTTTCAGCATTGAGAATAAAGAATTGGTTGCTTTGATTTATAAACAATCTGCCTTGTGGTGCTGCTTATCTTGAATGCTGATGAGTGAAAGTTGTGAGTTTCCATTGTTTTGGAAACCAGTGACTTAATTTATCTTATGAGTATGGAGGGTGGAGTGTGGAGAATAGTTCTAATAATAATAAGTCTAAGGGGCTGAGGGAAAGGTATTGGTCAAAAACAGCTCACAGCTTGACGATTCAGTGGAAAGAAAGTAAATCTTAAAACTGGTAAGGTAGGTCAACAATTGAGGATTAGCAACTTTAGAGAAAAGGCAGGGGGAAAAAAGTCCTAAACAGGAATGGGAAAAGGAGCCACATTTTAATTCAACCGAGTGAACAGCACCGTCCGAGTTGTCATGAACACAGTTCTGCACTGGAATGTGAAACGTGCTTATCAAGAAGCCCTTGTTGTCACATTTCCTAGGTCTCATGGTTGTTTGTATTTTACCTTCCATTACAGCTCTCATGCTATCTAATAAAAGGGTAACAACAAATTAGCCGTCACTCCATCACAAAGATGGCGGTGCCCAAAACCACAAGATGGCAGCGCCCAGTCCTCTCCGCCCCACCAGAGTTCCCCAGTTCTGGGGGAGGGAGAGGGTGGCTGCTGAGAGTAGGCAGCGTGAGTGGAATGCCAGCTTCATCACTGCAGCCACAAGGCAAGCATTCTGTGCCCAGCCACGGATGGGCCTCTGGACTGCAGAGAGCCTTTGGGCAGCAGGCACAGAGCGGCCAGGCCCTGCAGAGAGCTACTGGTGCACGGACTCATGCGCAGGGCTACTAGTCTGTTAAAATTGATTATGCCCCTTTTTCTTTTGTATTTGCTGTTGCACTGTTGCAAGCCTTTTCTAAAAGACTGATACCAGTTCTTGTCTTCTGTTACCTAATGTAATAACTCCATCTAAATTTGAACTAGAAATGATACTAAAGAAAACATGATGAAGAGAGAAGTATCACACTGGAGACTCTGACAAGTTTCCCAGTTCCTTTGGTATGGCTCTTTTTCCTGGTAGAAATGGCTTCGATCAAAATTATGTTAAATCTTTTTTCTTTTCTACCAAAAGTAACTGGTACGTGTGTATATAAGCACAAAAATTCAACACATTTTCTTTCTTTTTTTTCTTCTTCTTATATTTAAGGTACAAAAGAATATTGAACATTGTAAAAAAAAATCATAGTAAATTTTGAATGCATAGCAATGTTTTAAATGCTATATTCTGTAATATGAAATTATAAAAGAATGACTTAATAGTTTTTATTAACTGTAAAATGAGCCTGCATTGAGATATCTATTTTTATCTGGGTTTTTGGCAACATCAGATATGCTACTTCTCTCAGAAGTCTGGAAATTTTACCTTTCGAGAATTGTCCTAACCACAGCTCCTTGGTTAGGCCAAGGTACTACATTAAACTAATGAACCCCTAAGGGTCACACAACTGCTTCCTTTGTTTTTCTCTTTCTTCCTGTCCAGCCTCTAGAGCTAATTCCAAAAACAGCAGCATCAGTGAATTTAAGAAGGAAGTCATATATTAAGTAACAATCCCCTGGAAAATAATGGGAAAGGTGATCTAAGTGTGATTGACGGTTCTTATGATACTTGCTCCAAAAGAGTAATTGATCCTTCATCGTGTGGCTATAAAAGCAACACTGTACAGAGAGGGAGGCAGAGTAGAAGGAAGGAAAGACAGTGGGGAGTTGAGGCAGCTGCCATCTAATAAGAGGAAAAAGAGAGGCAGAGAGAGAGGGATAATAGTTATAGTGAACTCTTTATTGTTCGGGCATTGGGATAAAATGGTGCTCACCCTGCTTCTGAGCACCCTTTGGCTTCATTTCACTGTTGGTGTGGCTTCAGAACCGTAAGGGAATATTATACTCTCTATTCATATTAAAGCACTAGCAAAGAGACCTCGTTACCCCTGTTCTGTGTTAGCATTTGATACTTTACCACTTCTGAGACTGAGTGCTGGTTCGCCTTATACATTTTTAAACAAGTGTATAAAAGGAATTGAGATTTTTTTTTTTAAGATACCTCTCTCTGTATACTTAACATTCATTGTAATGAAAAATGTGTATGTTTCAGGGCCATTTCAATAAGCTAACGTTGCCTTTTATGCATGTTCTGCATCTATTTTTCCTACCTAGGCAATATATTCTATGGGTCTCCTCTGTGATTCAGAGTCACTCTACAGAAAAAGCCTGTCTTCATCTTTTAAACCTTAATGAGTCTGTATCCTTGAGTATTGTCCTAGAGTATGATGAAGTCAACGTCACTATTTTTGACCAGCCTGTGGAGGAGGAGAACTTCTATGCTTGTGCAGATTTCCAGGTGAGGCACTGAATTTGCCATTTCAGAACTTTGGATGGGAACATGAAATTATTATTTAAAATTTCATTTTAGAGGGATAACAAATCTGGATTTTAGGTGACTTATGGAAGCTAGGGAATAAAACAAGAGAATTTCTGAGGCAGGAGACAAAATAAAAATTAACATAGGCCAAAAAAAAAATGTGTGAGATATTACCGTTTTCTATTATGTGCAGCGATTAAATGTAATTACTGCTTTTTGATAGGGCTGTTCAACAATATGAGAAAACAGAATTGAGGTAAAGGAAAGCAGAATTGGAGTTCGGGGCAACAAAAAAATAGAAGGCAAGGAGACATAAAAAGAAGTTTATTAAAAACTGTTTTCATACTAAAAAAAAAAAAAAAAGAAATTAAAACAATCACAGTCTCTCATTAAAAAATAATGAGCTTAAAATGCTCTCAGACTGAGAACCCAAATCAAGACATTGTTCACCTTCTTAATGTCTACAAATAATTGTCCCATTCTCTGTTCTTTAACATAAACAGGTTTCTCAAAAGCCCTCTGAGCAGTTAGCTTTTGTGACATTGTTGGTGAAGGGTGATACTCTTGACATCTTTGAGAGGAGGTCTGTGGCACTCGTCTCAGAAGAGACAGTAACTTTCGTCCAGACAGATAAACCCGTCTACAAACCTGGAGAGGATGGTAAGTCAATATTCACGTTTCCTTTGTATCCTTGACCTTACGAACACATTCTTCAAATTTAGGGCAACCCAAACATGGGAATTTTAGTCTTAAATTTATCCTTAATGTTATAGAATCATGGATCTCTAGAATGTTTGCTGGTTGAGTAGGTCAATTATAAAATAGTTCCCTCAAGCTCCAGTAATTGAGGAGCTTTGCTTCTTAAAACTTCGCATGCCACTTTTATTTTGTACAAATTCTAGTGACAGGCACACATAAAACAATGGTTACAAGCATGGGATGTGGAACAAAGTTATTTGGCCTGAATTGTTGATCTATAATTTACCAGTTGGATGCGCAAGTTAAATCTCTATTTAGTCTCAACCTTTTAAATCTGTAGAATGGAGATAATCAAAATATCTCACTCATACAAATACTGTGAGAATAAAATCAGATTGTCAATGTATAACAGTACCTCGGACATAATAGAGACTCCATAAATGATATTTATAATCACTCTTATTATTATTCATTTCAATAGAAGTAATCATAAATCTGAAAAACAAAGCAAAGCCCTTTTATTTTCTTTACTATTGTAAGTAGGAGATAGCATAAATAACACTAACCAAGGACTCAAAAGAATCCTTAGTTTTGTCTGGACTTTGTTCATGATTTATTGGCCTTTGCCAAGCAAATTCTGATCTTAGAGATGTAAAATAGAGGGTTCAATGAGAGCATCTATATATCATGTTTTGATTTATTGAGAAGAGATAAAAGAATTGAAGCAGAATTTATATGGTGAGATTTAAAGAAATAAAAGAATTGAAACAGAATTTATATGGTGAGATTTTTTTTGCTGCATTATATTCTCTCTATGGAGTTATTAAAATGCTATGATGGACAGGCATGTGTAAAAAAATATCTAAGATGGTTTTCTAGAATTCTGCTCAAATTAATATACTGTAATGTTTGTTAACATCAATACATTTTTTCCAGAAAAATTATGTTTAACTCCTACCATAGATATTTCATATTTGTCCTTCTATGACTCATTCTGACATAAATTCCAGTGGTGTAGTAGCTAGTGTCAGCTTTAGTAGCAACCGTGTCATCAGCAGGAGAATTACAATTATGCAATAAGAGATCTTTCCGAATGGAACTCCAAGGATCAAATCAGTTAGGGGAGGAGGGAGAGCAGTATTCTATGATAGGAAAGCAATTTATTTCCATGTCTATTTGTAAACAATTATACCTAGGATAGAAATAACAAGAAAATATTGTGTGTCTCCCCCCCCCCCTCTCTTTTCTTTTAGTTCAAATTCGCATTGTGACACTGAATACCAAGTTCAAACCTGTTGAAGAGATGGTGAGTTTAATAATTTCTAAAGATACAGTGAAACTTCAGCAAGCTAAATAAATCTATTGCTATAGAAAGTGTTGTCAGGAAGTTTTTCGTAAGTATGAAAATAGATCCTAACATAGTCAACTTTACAGATATAGTTTCATTGTTAAACCTCAAATTGAAACATAAAACTTTCATTTATCATGAGTTAATTTATACTTCTTTAAGACTTTTTTCCATCATGGAAGGATGGGTTGCATGAAACCTTTTGCCCTCTGGAAAAATGAGAGTGAAGTCTCAATACTTAAATTAAATCTAATAATCTTTATAAATGCAATATGTGGCAAAAAAAAACACACCACAAAACAAAACAAAACAAAACAAAAAACACAAAACAGTGCACTATTACAATATTAACCTAGTTTTTGTTTTTGTTTTTGTTTTTTCCCCCTCTTGCAGTATCCTTTAATCACACTTCAGGTAAGATATCGGTTTGTTTGTTTTTTTAATTTCTATTATTTTAAATATTCAGATAGTGATTTGTGTCTAGTTTTCATTATATGTAGTTACAAGTTAAGATAACTGAAATAGCGAAGGAGAAAATCTTTATACACCATATAAGATATTAGATGAAAAACTAAACAAAGGGCTGTCACTTTTAGTGTAGTCTGTGTGGCAAGTGCAGTAACTTAGGTTTTCAAGGAAAAGAAAAGATTGAGCTCTTTTTAAAAGGAGTTTATGTTTAAAATTACCTCCTTTTAAAAAGAACTCAATCTTTTAATTTTGGCTGCTGGCCCTTCTCAATCCTACTTTAGCCATATCTTATTTTAAGGAAATAGAAAGCATATACATACACCTATAAATTTAGAAATTAGCTAAGAAGGTGATTTTATTATTATAATAGAATTTTGGTTTTCAGGAAATAGTGAATGGAGTCTCTTTCTACTAATTCAGATTTTAATACTGTGCAGTATGGCATCTAAATGTATTTGAAGTCTTATGCCTATCTGTAAATAACAATCAACTCAAACATATATATTTGAATTTTGACATAAAGTATATGTACCGTTATTATTAACTAATTATGAAGGTTAGTTCACTGAGATCTAAGTTTATTATTATTGACTAGAGGCCCAGTGCACAAATTTGTGCACGGGTTGGATCCCTCAGCCTGGCCAGTGATCCAGGGCCATGGGAAGGGCTGGCCTGCCAGGGAGAAGGACCATGGGAAGTTGGTCCCAGCAGCAAGCTAACCAATGGCCAATTTCCATGAGGAATTGAGCTCCCACTTCCCTCCTGTCTGGTTCCAGGGTGCAAGTGAACCAGATTTGGGGCTGTCAGGACCCCAGCAGCAAGCTAACCAATGACTGATTCAGCAAGGAATCAGGCTCCCTCCTCCCTCCTGTCTGGGTCCAGGGTGCAAGTGAACCAGATTTGGGACTGTCAAAGCCCTAGCAACAAAGTCTGGGTCAGTATGTGTCATAGTTACCAGCTGGTCATTCAGTCATAACAGTCGCTTAGGCTTTTATATATATATATATAGAGAGAGAGAGAGATTCTGTGTGTAAATACATTCTTCAAATAGTCTTTTTAATTTAAATGCTTTTGACTTTGTTTTCTGAGCAAAAATAGATTATCTTTCCAGTAGGATAGATGTCAGGTCAGCCATTTTTAATTTTTCTGCATGATTTATTATCTATGAAGAATATTATCTTCACAGCCTAATTTAGTTAGTATTATGTTCCATAGAAAGCTTAATTGACATTAATTTAAATGAGTAAAAAATATATTTTCTACATGAACTGTATGTCTGAGTCTAGGCACGTCAGTGTTAGGACAGTAACAGCATAATGTTACCAAGGACCTAGGCTTCTTCTCCTTCTTTACCATCCTCAATGTCTTATTTTATTTTTAATGCCAGCTGAGACTGATTTTCTTAGAAAGAATTTTCACCCAGTGTCTGACACTTACATTTAATTTGCCATCACTGAGTCACATGGGCAATCCTTGTTAAAGGAAGTCTGGAAAATTAATTTAACTTTCTAGATTTTATTGTAGAGGAAAGAAAAAGTGATCAGAGAATAATGTTTTTGTATCTTTGTAAAAATATTTTCACCAGGGTTTCTTTAATCACATTTGGATGATATCAATAAATGCATTAAGCCAAGCTCACATGAGCTGCAATAGGCTAGAGGCAAATAAAAGAGAAAGGATGGCATTACCAGTCCTTTCTTGTTGTAGAACTTCTATTTAACAGCTGTTGTATTCAGTGTAGAATTCATGACCAACTTACTTACAAACCAACCAACATGTTTACAAGTATTTGTAAAGATAAGTATCTCCTGTGCATCTATCGGTGCTTGTCACTATACTTGAGAGAGCACCACACTGAAGCTTTCACCCTGAGTTTTAAGTTCTTTAACTATGCAACTCTGGTGCATAAAGATCAAAATCAAAAGCATTAATTATAGATTTTGTTCATTATCTTTTTTGGGCTTACAAGATATAAAATACTATAAGGTTGAATTTGAAGATTTGAGGAAATTACGTTATTTTTACAATTTGAGATATCTATATATATAAAAGTCTAAGCGACTATTACAACTGAATGACCAAAATGACCAGAACGACCAGTTGACTAGTTGCTATGATGCATACTGACCACCAGGGGGCAGACGCTCAATGCAGGAGCTGCCCCCTTGTGGTCAGTGCACTCCCACAGCCACCTCTCCTCAGTCCCTCCCCTTTGCCAGCCAGCTCCCTTATAGGCCCCAATTAGGGGGCCCACCAGCCAACCTCCTAGGATCCCTCCCCTTGGCCAGCTGGCCCCCCAATAGACCTTGATCGCAGTCCAGGCCAAGGGACCCCACTTGTACATGAATTCATGCCCTGGGCCTCTAGTTCAATAAAATGAGAGAGCTTTCTTTACTTCCCATAATTACAGAAAGAACCCAAATGAAGAAGGAAAGGATAAAACTCTTACATGACCTCTGTTTTTATTTCTTCTTTATTTTCCAGGATCCTCAAAACAATGGGATTTTTCAATGGGAAAATGTGACTCCTTTTCAAAATATTACCCAACTGTCATTCAGATTGATTTCAGAACCAATGTTTGGCGAATACTCTATAGTTGTGAAAACAGCATCAGGAAGGATGTTGGCACACCCATTTACTGTTAATAGATATGGTAACCAATTGCTGCTTATAATTGTTCTATGTAGATGAAGCTTTCAGAGGACTCGAGAAGTAACTTTTATGTTAGGATTAGGAAAAGTAGGTGAGGCTTTATTTGGTGTTCTCCCATCTTCCTTTCTTGGCCTTTTCTGCTTTGTCATCTTTCTTGCTCCTCACTCTTCTTTGCCATCAGCCTATTTTCTGACCCTTGCCTTTACTTCCTAAGAAATATCTCATTTTATAAAATCTACACAATCTTCTGGGAAGTATTACAACAAATAAAATGTAAAGTTATAAGAATAGAGAAGAGAAAGGAAAAGGAAATAATTAATCATTAGTGAGACACCATCACTTACTGGTGCAACACAGGATTGGGGACAATTGAAACATGGTCTATACAGATGTACACAAAGTAAAATATGGTGCATAGAAGCACACTTAGCTACCTAATTGTAATAAGTTTTGCTCTTCAGTATTTGTAAGGGCTGATCTATATTTCTCTTTATTTCCAGTATTGCCTAAGTTTGAAGTAAAGGTCGATGTACCACAAACAGTAACTATTTCAGATGAGGAATTCCAAGTGGATGCATGTGCTAAGTAAGTATTTATTCAGGAGATTTGACAGCACATGTCAATTCAAGGCTCAGAGAGAAGGAGAAATGAAATTAAGCATGTAACTTTAATTATTTGTATGCTTATGTTAAGATTATCAGACAAGTAATAAATTGCCATTATAAGATATTTTAAAATATGAAGAAAAACATAAGAAATTACCTATAATTAATTCTTCTGATGCAATTAATACTGAAATTTATTTTTCTCTAATCTTTCATGATGTTTCTATAATTGCAATCATACGTTTCTACCCACTATAATTAAGAAACATGTTCCCATGTATGCCAATATTTTCATGAATTCTAGTCTCTATGGTTATATCAAATTTACTTAATCACTTTCATTATATAACGTGTAGGCTGTTCAATTTGTTTTTTTCTAATCCAATCTAATAAAAGGATAATATGCAAATTAACCATTACTCCATCACAAAGATGGCAGTGTCCATAGCCACAAGATGGCAGAGCCTAGTCCACTCAGCCCTGCTGGAGTCCCCAGTCCCGGGAGGGTGGCTGCTAAGAGCAGGCAGCCACGGTGACGAGGCAAGCATTCCTCACCCAGCCATGGATGGGCCTCTGGGCCTTGGAGAGCCTCTGGGTAGTGGACTTGGAGCAGCCAGGCCCGCAGATTAGTGCATGGATTAGTGTGTAGGGCTACTAATAATAAATAATATTATACTTTAAGTATACCAGTAAGTGCATAAGAAGTAGCTTCTGAATTAAAAATTCCCTAAGAAAGATTTCAAGAATTGGAATTACCAAAATGAAATGTATAACATTCTTTTAGTTTTCTGATTGCCATAATGTTCTTTAAATATGTTGTCCCAATATACAATTCCAACACTGCCTGTCTCATTGAATCTTCATTATCTTGGGAGTTTTCATTTTTTCAAAAAAGATCATAAACTTTTGAAATGTCTTGGTGAAAAAGAAGGCACTTTACCAATTTATTTGAGTTAATTTGAATAATTTTAATGTAAAAAAAACATTTCTATGTGATGTGAAAATTTTTTTTTATTTTTGGAAAATTATTTCTAATGATATTTACCTCTTTTAAAAGTGTAATGTATTTTTCAAATTTCTAAAAAAGAATTAAAAATAGCTAATATTTAGTAAGTGCCAATTACTGTGCTAAGCATTGCACTTATTATATTCTTACCACCATGCTATGAGATAGATGCCATTATTATTTTTATTTTATATTGAAAGATTATGTCACAGAGAACTGAAATAACATATCAATATTAATGGAGCTTTTTTGATGGCAGAACTTGGCTTTAGACCTATGTTATCTGACTTCAGAACCACTCTCTAACCAAAAATTCTGTTGTACTTTATGTAACAAAATTTTAAACATTAGCATTTCCACATATTTAAACACTGTTTAATTGATGACATGCAAATTACTTGCCTTTGAATATTTTAAGCAGTATATTAAAGATACATTGGGAAAAGGGCTATCTAATAAACAAGTTAGGGGCATGCTCATGGATGCCACAAAGCATCTTGAAAAAAGTTTTTAGTTTTTTTATATTATTTAAAATGTTCATTGGACTCTAGAAAAAGAAACATAATACTTTTTGAGTTTCAAAAAGAGTAGCTGAACATATGCCAGAATTTCATAAATGAAATATATAAGAGATCAATAACCTGCATCAGGACCTATGCTTTCGGTCAAAGCATATGTAGTGTACATATATATTTTCTGCTAAAGAAAAAAAGTGATACAAACAATTTTTATATTTCTATCAGATTAAAATAAAAACTAAATTTAATCATTAAATCCTATTCACTGAAATTTTAGTCTACATTGAATTTGATTTAAAAAGCAGCTGAATCCTGCTACCTGATCAAATACCTAATTTAACCTAAATTCTGTGGGGATGATATCACCAAGAGATGGGAATTCCTAATAGAATTTGGTCATTGAAGTACTCATAGTTTAGAGCTTCCATATGTAATTTCTGAAGAAGGCCATAAAATATTGCCATGGTTTTGTTCATCAATAATTACCAATACACCTTCTCCTCCTAGGTACACCTTTGGCCAACCTGTGCAAGGAAAAGCTCAAATCAAGGTGTGCAGAGAATATTTTTCCTCTGGGAATTGTGAAAGAGACAACAATGAAATATGTGAAGAATTTATTGTGCAGGTACAGATCACAATCTTTATTTCAAAAAAAGCTCAATTTATTATTATTCTTTCTTTGATTTCATTTATAAAAAGGGATATAACACTTTTTATCTTGTGAATAATGGAGGTTGCAGGTAGGTAAGGTAAAGAATGAGGAATAAAATACAATGTTTAACAATAGTCTCTTATTCTCTAGGCTATGTAAATTGTTACCTACCAATGAAATAATACATTTTTAGAATTGAAAGCTGTTATTGGCTCCCTATGTTATAAACTGAGTGGCCAGATGAATGCATAATAATCTGGCCACTCAGTATATATATATATATATATATATATATATATATATATATATATATATATATATACACACACACACACACACACACATATTAGAGGCCTGGTGCATGACTTTGTGGTTGGGTGGGGTCCAGCCAGCATGGCCAAGGGGAGGGGACATGGGCAATTTTTCGTCCTTCCTGCTGGTCGAACTCCTGGTTGAGGGGATAATTTGCATATTAGCCTTTTATTATATAGGCTATACACTGAGTAGCCAGATTATTATGCGTTCAGAGATCATAATAATCTAGGTGACCTCCCTGATCTTTCTTTAGAGAATCATTAATTACCCTTTAAATAAATGAATCCTTCATAGTATTCCCCATGCAACCTAGAATTGTTCTTATGAAAGAAAGGTCATTTGAAAACATCTGCAATTCAGAGTATCTGCATTTATTACTTTAGATTTGAAGTTCATTTTTTTAAATATCATTCAGTTCCATGTTCATCTTTTCAAAATTTTTTATTGTTGACACTATTACAAATGTCCCCCATTTTCCTCCTCTTTGCCAACCTTCACTCACCCCCTCTACCCTCTCCCCACTCACTCTCCCCCACTCTCTCCCTCCGCCCCACCAGCCTTCAACACACTGTTGTCAGTGTCCATAGGCTATGCATATATGTTCTTTAGGCTAATTGTTAACCTTCTTTTATCCATTTCCCCCTCTACCCCATTCCCCTCTGAGATCTGACACTGTTCCATGCATCCATCCCTCTGTTCCTATTTAGTTCAACAGATTATTTTTTTAACTTGATTTCATCCACATTGTTTCCAGAATAACCCTGACATCTGTAAAATATGCAATATCTCCTTATTTAGTTTTAATTGGTAATGAAAATTACTTCTCCTCCTCCCCCCATCTTTTGAATTCTGTGGTCATTTCAACAAGTCTGTGAGAGGGAGCCATTGGGTGGTAGAGGGAGATAAGTATGTATGCTGAAATTACATATTCTTTTAAAGACTTTTGGATCCCTAACTTTTTCTTTGTTTCTTCTCTTTATTTTTCAGTTGAAAAATGGTTGTGTTTCTCAAATTGTAAATACAAAGGTCTTCCAACTTTCCCGTTCTGGATTTTTCATGTTATTTCCTATCACTGTAACTGTAACAGAAACTGGGACAGGTAATGGTTGTATATTATTGGCAACTTGAGGACATATGCAGTTTACTAGAAAAAAGTTTATTGAGTTAGAAACACTCACCAACTACAGATCATTAATTGCTCAATAGAGTAAAATGGAGTACATTTGCTAAGAGGTCAACTTGAGGGTTGTTTTTGAAAAAAATTTTTCTAATAATATTTAAAATAAAAATATTATATAAATGCTACACTCAACTTGGATAAGTATCACCTTTGTTTGCCTTGCAGAGACCGTGGGACCAAAAGCTTAAAATCATTATGTCAGATCTTTTAAAAGAGAAATGTATCAATCTCTGATCTACTACAACTGGGAACATTGCAAGTGCAAAAGTTAGTGAGAAATTCACAAGACCGCATATCAAACGATTCATCTTTCTTAACACTATTTTTCATTTGTTATAGGTGTGCAGATCAGTGAAAAAGCTTCTATTTCTATCACTTCATTTCTTGGGTCAGTGAACTTTGAGAACACGGACACTTTCTATAGAAGAGGAATTCCTTTTTTTGGCACAGTAGGTTTGACTAAAAATATATACGTTCTCATTTCACTTTCTTGGATCATAGATTGCCCTTTGAAATTTTCTGGACATGTTTTTTCTACTTTCATAACACATTGCAATATTACTACATCTGACATACTGGAAAAAGTCCTGGGCTAAAAGAAAGTGATAGATAAAAGTATAGTTGTTTTCATATTATATATTTACTTAATGGAACATCTTTCAGAATTTAAGAAAAGAAAAGAAATGATTACATTTATGAATAAAAAATTTCTTCTCAGTAGTGATGTGACATTTTGAATTTTAAAAATCAATGATTCTCTCTCTCTCTTCTTTTTTTTTGTACAGCTTAAATTTTCTGGTCCGAATAATGTCCCGATGGTGAACAAGCTATTGCAATTGGAACTCAATCACAAATTTATAGGAAATTACACCACAGACGAGAATGGTGAAGCTCAGTTATCCATTGACACTTCAGATATATGTGATCCGGAGTTCATCCTGAAAGTAAGACATCAAAGAATAGATAAGACCCCACAGTGCATTCCAGTGTTAGGAATTTTGAATGTTAAGAATCTCTTAAAAGATAACTTATATTGAGAATGTATTTTAATAGAGTTTCAAAATTTAGGGAATTTTATATATTTGCTTGTTCATTAGATAATACACGAGAATACTTATTCAAGAGGATGAGGTAATAGTAGCCCATTATCTAGTTTATTATTATAAACTAGAAGCCTGGTACACGGATTCACGCAGGGTGTGTCTAGCTGGTCTCACCCAGTCGCCCAGTTCCAATTGGGGCTAATTGGGGCCATCCAGCCAGGAAGGGACCACAGGAGGGCTCCAGGGCAGGTCCAGCCCATCTCTGCCAGACCCTTTCTGCCAGACCCCAACAGCAAGCTAACCTACTGGTGAGAACATCTTCCCCCTGGTGGTCAGCGTGTATCATAGCAACTAGTCAAAAGGTTGGTTAAATGGTCAAACGAATGGTCACTTAGCATATTAGTCTTTTATTGTATAGGATTCTATAACAACTTATTTTCCCCTGAGAAACTAGAAATAGCTCATGAAAAATATTTAACTCTTTTCCTTTGATCGTTTTATGCATAGATTAGGATGCATGATTTCTCTTTTTCTGCTTCTTAATCAGAATTTTACAATTAAACAATTTATCAATGGTTAAGTGCAACTGAAAGACACAGGACCTTAAGGCTCATCTCTGATTTCAATTACAAAGTAAAAATAAATACTTCATTGTAAGCCTAATGAAACAGACATACAATTATGGCCACGTTTGTGTACAAAAAAAGGAGGAGAGTGCTTATATTATTTTAAATTCCAGTAAGTTAATGTTTAAAGTCAGCCACAAGCTGAGATTTTCTCTCTGCTTTGAAGGGATTTAGAAGCTTTTAAGTCTGTAGTAATTACTGTCCTTGAAAGACAGCTCTAAGATCCTTTGCTTTCTTTTATCTTATCAGGCCACATTTGTTCACCCTAAGAACTGCTATGTTCCCAGCTGGTTGATGCCTGAGTATTTGGATGCCCAAATATCAGTCCCACGCTTTTACTCTAAAACCAATAGCTTCCTGAAGATTGTTCCTGAACCAAAGCAGCTTAGATGCAATCAACAAAAGATTGTTAATGTGCTTTACTCCCTAAACAGTGAAGCATACAGGGAAGAGTCAAATATAAACTTCTTTTATTTGGTAAGTCTTGTCTGATAGATTCTTGGGTTTTGTCTGTCTGTTTAGCATGGTACAGTTTAGAACTTCTCCATCAGTCATGCATGACAGTCTGAGGAGGCCAATCCAACCTCACTTTGCAGGTGAATGCTATTGGCAACCTAAAAAAACAAACACAGAAACAAATAAATAAACACATAAAAAGATTCAGGCAATTTTCCTAAGGTTGAAAAACTTACTCTTCTGAGTCTTCTATTTTAAGAATTTAATTATAACTCACATCAAGTAAGTATGCCCCTTTGTGAGAGTAAGATATTGGGGAGATACCAGAAACTAAGTGGAAAGCTGATTTTGATAAATATTAAAAGAAATTAGCCCTTTTTGTTCTGTCCCCATATTTATTCATTTTGACTCTAGAAGGCGTATTGAAAGGTGAAAAGCTACAGACTTGGAAATTATAGCTCCTAATTAAAATCCTCCACCCTCTCCTAGTTAGATTGTTGAAACTTCCTAAGCCTTGGCTGTATATTTGTAATTGGAAATGATAAGACATCTAGGGCCAGTAGTTTGTGTCAGGCACTGTTATGAGGGCTTTACATGTGTTGACTCATTAATCAACCTTCTGAGTAGCTCAATTTGCAAATAAAATAACAAAGGCAAGAAATTAAAATGACTTGGCTTATTCAAAGCCAGGCAGGCTGGACAATTTCAGAGCTTTATGCAACCCTTACTCAGTGCACTGCATACTATTTAACATGCTTCTAGCACCTAATATATTCTCAATAAATTACAGTGACTTTGTTCTTTTCCAAGTTTTGCAAAGTCCTTTTTTTAATATTTGTTCATGGAAAATATCCTATCTTACAGATAGATCCCTAGATTGTTCAGAATGACAGAATTAACACTAGATTGTTCATTATTTAATAATTTTATGATATATTAAATAATATGATTTCCAATATTGTGTTTTTGCTTCACAGGTGATGGCAAAAGGGGCTATCTTGCTCAGTGGACAAATGGAAATCAGAGACAAAGGTGTTTACAATACATTAGTATTTTTTAAATATGAATGCCACCTTCATTTTTCTTTATTTTTAATAAAATGTTATAGTGCTAGAGTCAAAATGTTAGGTTAGAAGCGTGCTTAATATTACCATTTGTGATTGGAGGACAATAGTTAATGTGATCCAACATAACTTACTAAATATTTTGATGAAAGAGATTTCAGCCAGTTTCTATTATTACCAGGTAATTAAGTACAATAGAGGCCCAGTGCATGAAATTTGTACAGGGCAGTGTGTGTGTGGGGGGTGGTCCCTCAGCCTGGCTGACACCCTCTCCAATCTGGGAACCCTCCGAGGATGTCCGACTGACGGTATAGGACATCCCTCTCACAAACTGGGACAGCTAGCTCTTAACTATTCACCTGCCTTCCTGCCTGCCCTAACCACTTTGCCTGCCTCTCTGATCCCTCTAACTACTCTCCCCTGTTGGCCTGATCCCTAACTGCTCTCCCCTGCTCACCTGATGACCCCTAACTACCTTAGCCTCAGACCTGCTACTGTGGCTTTGTCTGGAAGGAGTTCAGGAAGACATCAAGTCTAATTAGCATAGTACCCTTTTATTAGTATGTAGGGGTGTCGAACTCAATCAGAGAAGGGGCCAAAATCTAAAATCCAGCCTAAATCGCGGGCCGAATGGTTTACTGAACAGTCATAAACTGTCATTGTGATGGAAACGCAGCGGAGTGCAGTGATGACAGCGCGGTGCGGGCCACATTGCAAGGCCTGGCGGGACAGATTTGGCCCGCTGGCCTTGTGTTTGACACATGTGGACTAGAGGCTAGTGCATGAAATTCGTGCATGGGGCTGGGAGGGGTGTCCCTCAGCCCAGCCTGCACTCTCTCCAATCTGGGACCCCTCGAGGGATGTCCGACTGCCATTTTAGGCCTAATCGGCAGTCGGACATCCTTCTCACAATCCAGGACTGCTGGCTTCCAACTGCTTGCCTGTCTGCCTTCCTGATTGCCCCTAACCACTTCTGCCTGCCAGCCTGATCACCCCCTAACCACTCCCATGTCAGCCTGATTGATGTCTAACTGCTCCCCTGCCAGCCCATTTGCCCCCAATTTCTCTCCTATGCCAGCCTGATCACCCCTAACTGCCCTTCCCTGCAGGGTTGATCGCCTCCAACTGCCCTTCATTGCAGACCTGGTCCCTCTCAACTGCCCTCTTTTGCAGGCCTGGTACCTCCCAACTGCCCTTCCCTGCTGACCATCTTGTGACCATCTTGTGTCCACATGGGGACAGCCATCTCTGACCACCTGGGGGCAGCCATCTTATTTGTTGGAGTGATAGTCAATCTGCATATTACTCTTTTGTCAGATAGGATTATAGAGAAATGATGCTCAAAACCTAAATACCATTATTGACTCAATTATGCAGTGTTCACATTAGTATACAGAGTTTTCATTATGTAATTCATTTGTCTTTAAGTAAAGCCTAGTTTGCTCTTTCTATCCATAAGCCATCCCATTTTGTGTAAGGGTACCCCGTGAGCCAGGAGCCTTTGGCATTGCATCCGTTGATGACATCTTCTATTTACACAGCCTGGGATGGACAGTTCTCATTCCCCATCCACATCAGCGCTGACCTGGCTCCTGTGGCCATCATGCTCGTCTACACCCTTCACCCCAGCGGGGAAATTGTGGCGGACACTGTCAAGTTCCAGGTTGAGAAGTGCTTTAAAAACAAGGTGATGTGGTTTTTGTTTGTTTGTTTGTTTGTTTGTTTGTTTTCTATTTCTTGCTGGTCCCGAGTGAGAGAGGTGAGCACTTTTCTCCCTGTCATCTCACTCTTATAAACTTGACAAGGTATTCTCACAATAAATGTTGGTAAAATTAAATTATTAGGGGGATAAGAGAATCGCCAAAACAGAATGAATAAATGTTGGCAGCAATGCCAATCCCGAGATGAAGGGAGGATATTCCTGGAGGGGGAGGGAGGGTGATAGTAGGCAGGAAAAATATAGGTACAGAAATCTATAAAGATGTGTTTGTGGGGGGAAACCTGAGACTATTCCAATTCTATTCATATGAACTTATCTAGCTCTCCTTCTTTTCTTCCTCTCCTTCAGGTTAGCCTCAAGTTCTCTGAGGAGCAGGGACTCCCTGGCTCCACCACCACCCTCTATCTAGAAGCAGCCCCGGACTCCCTCTGCGCACTGCGGGCTGTGGATAAGAGTGTCCTTCTGCTGAAATCAGAACAAGAGCTGTCCGCGGAAAGTGTAAGCTCTCTGACTTCCCAGTGTTTACCTGGACTCCTGCAAGTCTAACCCTTCAGATGATATTTTTGAGATGGAACATGTTGAAATATCACATATTCTCTTCTTTTGTTCCTTCGTGGATGATATACTTAATTATTTCTCTCGCCAGACCCAGCACTTAGGGCAATACAGAATTCAGTAGATGGTTATAACAGGGTAGGGATCATATAATAACGTGATTTTGAAAAAAGTAATAGTTGTAATTATATGTATGGAGTTAAATCTCTGTGTTTGGCTTGGCTATGCTTGGCTCATAGCAGATTTGGCTCAGTGGATAGAGCATCCGCCCCAGGTCAGAAAGAGTCCCCGGTTTGATTCCAGTCAATGGGTGCTCGGACCTAGCTTTCAGGCTTGATCCCCAGCCCTGGTCAGGATTCGAGGCAACCAATCGATGTGTCTTTCTCACATCAATATTTATCTCTGTGTGTTTCTCCCCCTCACTTCCACTCTTTCTAAAAGTCAATAGAAAAATATCATCAGGCCGAAACCGGTTTGGCTCAGTGGATGGAGCGTCGGCCTGTAGACTGAAAGGTCCCGGGTTCCATTCCAGTCGGGGGCATGTGCCTTGTTTGCGGGCACATCCCAGTGGGGAGTGTGCAAGAGGCAGCTGATCAATGATTCCCTCTCATTGATGTTTCTAACTCTCTACCCCTCTCTCTTCCTCTCTGTAAAAAATCAATAAACTCAATAAAAAAAAAAAAATATATATATATATATATATATATATATATATATATATATATATATATATTATCAGGTGAGGATTAACAACAACAAAAGTTGCTTGTCTCTAATTTAAAGTTAAAATCTATTGATTCATTTTATATTTTCATAAGCGTTTTCAGACTAGCAATCCCAGAATTCACACCAATTTGTTTCAGTTAACTATTGGATATTTTCCCTTTATTTTTAACACAAGTACATATAAATATGGAAATTTTATTTTTCATTATACCTTACCTTTAATATTATTTTGTTTTAGTTTCAGGTGCACAGCGTAGTGGTTAGAGTCATATGCTTTAAAAAGTGGTCCTCCCATTATTTCTAGTACCACCTGGCACCATCCGTAGTTATAATATTACAATATTTTTTACTATATTTCCTATGCTGTACTTTTACATCCCTGTGACTATTTTGTAACTACCAACTTGTACTGTTTAATCCCTTCACCTTCTTCACCCAGTCCCTCACGCCCATTACCCTCTGGCATCTATCAGTCTGTTCTCAGTATCTTTGAGTCTGTTTTAATTCTGTTTGTATGTTAATGATCATGTTTAAAACTAATTTAATCATTCCAAAAATATATTATTAAAATGATGCCTCGTGTCCTAATCCACTTGGGCTGCTGTAGTATTTGGGCTACCACAGACTGTGTAGCTAATAAATCACAGATATTTCAGTCACAGTCAGGTGCAGTGTCTCTTCCTGGTGGCAGACTTCTCCCTGTGTCTTGATGAAAGGAACAAGGGCTATTTCTTGGGGCCATTTTATTAAGGTATTAATCTCATTCCTGAAGGCTCTGCCCTCATGACATAATCACTTCCTAAAGGTCCCAACTCCTAATACCATCACATTGGGCATTAGCATTTCAACATATGAACTTTGAGAAGACACAAACATTCAGACCGCAGCATCACTGTATTGTCGAAAATGTGCAAAATAAAAGGATAAAAAAGAAAATCTTTTTAAAAATCACTAATAATTGTAAAAGTTGGGCATATGTATATTTTTGCATATGTACATATTTATTTTATTCAAATTATTAGTATTAGTGAAAGTTTATTTTGAAAGCAACCAATGTAAAAGTAAGCCAGCTGAGCAGTGAAGGCTTAGAAAAACAAGTTACAGGAGCAAAAGAAGGGCCCTTGGAGCTTAGGGAAGGGGAAGGCAAAGATAACTCACCTGAGTGAAAGAAGAGGGAGAAGGGAAAAGTACAGGTGTGCTCCTTGAAAGAGGTACCTGTGTTTTACAAATAAGATCTCACTGAAGCTGAAACCGGTTTGGCTCAGCGGTAGAGCATCGGTCTGCGGACTGAAAGGTCCCAGGTTCGATTCCGGTCAAGGGCATGTATTGGTTGCGGGCACATCCCCGGTAGGGGGTGTGCAAGAGGCAGCTGGTCGATGTCTCTCTCTCATCAACATTTCTAGCTCTCTCTCTTCCTTCCTCTCTGTAAAAAATAAAAAAATAAAAAAGATCTCATTGAAAAATGCAATTTTGTATTTTGCCTTTAACACTCTATAGTAAATCTAGTTTTAAATATAAATCTATAAAAATTAATTAATGACAATACCTAATAACCATGAACCAAGACATAAACTGTATAATTTTTCCAATATAAAAGTATCTTACTAAAGTTTTGTTAGGAAAGGGCAGGTTATCTGTATATTAAGTTCTAGGTTTCTGCTTTCTTTAGTATCTTAAAAATGCCACTCCCCTATTGCCTTGCTTTGAATATTGCTTTTAAGACTTCTGACATAAGTCTAATTCATTTGTCCTTGTAAGTTATCAATATTTAATCTTTTTTGCCTGAGGGCCTTGAGGGCTTTTTTTTCTTTATATCTTAAATTTGATAGTTTTAGTAAAACACCTGTCAGAATTTATTGTTTTGGGGGAAATTTTCCTAAATATACAGTGACCCATAAAATGCATAAACATAGATTTCCAGGATTTGTCTTGAATTATAATTCTAAATTTTAATTTTTCCATTTGTTTCTTTCCCTCCTTCTAGTAAAACTTTATAAATATGCTTTGTCTCTACCTGCTTTCCAATTCAACCACTTTGCCTCTGACCTGTTTTAATTCATTCTTTCTCTCATTTTTATTCTCTTTTTTTTCTGTGCTACTTTTTAACGTTTTCTTTCAGTCGACTTTTTTCTTGAGCTCCTAATAAATTTAGATTTTATTTCTCTTTTATCTTACAGCAGTTTTGTTGGAATTCATTTTTCCAGTTCTTGGTAATTGGTGGAAGAATGAGTTGACTCAAAAGTGTTGGATTAAATAGATTCAATATTAAAAAAAAACAAAAAAAAAAAAAAAAAAACCACATAGGAAATGGTTATGGCACAAACTTTCCAATTTTATAAAAATAAAATGAGTGCTTACAATCATTGAAAACCATGTGCTTTTTTTCCCACAGGTGTATAACCTGCTTCCAAATATAGAACTCTATGGTTATTTCCATCATGGTCTCAACCTTGATGATGGCAAGCAAAACCCTTGCATTCCTCAGAAGGATATGTTTTACAATGGTTTGTATTACATACCTGTAGGCAACTATGGAGATGGAGACACCTATGATCTTATCAGGGTAAGAACATTTAATTTTTTTTCATTTATTCTATCTCAGTTTTAATGCTCATACTGCATATCTATGCTTTGTTATTTATGTAGGTTTTTTTCCTATTCTTTGAGATAGAGATCAGTAATCTGCTTTAAAATCACTCAAAAATTGTCTTACAAAAAAAAAGACATTCATTTCTGTTGATTTTTTTGTTGAAAATAAATTAAGTGGCAGCTAAAATTATAAAACGTCATGTTGGAAGTAATGAGATAGTCTTCAATTTGTTGCAATAAACCGTATGCAGAAATAGTCAAATAAAGAGTCTAGAATATTGTCTGGTCTACCAATTAGATATGCTGAGACCTCCATAAAAGAATCTTTATCATGGAAGTCACAGATATAAAGGGACTAAGGCAAGAATTAGACAGACTCTAGTTTAAATCCCAGATCTCCAAATTACTAACTATACATTGGATATGTGTGTGAGTGTGTATATGTTTGATATTAGTTAGGATCATAGTAGTGCTGTTTGTATTTTTCCCTTAAAATTAAATGAAAAATTATGTTAAATACTTAGCAAAATCCTAGCACATACTGATGGTGGATAAATAAGACTATCATTTTTTTTCATTCAAATTAGGTATTTTTCATACTTCACATACAAGTGATTTAATTTCTAACATCCCAGACCCTTGCTAGGAGAGGAACTCTGTACATTTAGCACTATAATCTAGCTGATGGACCTGTTTTAGGTCTTGTGTGAAGGAAATGCACAACTTTTCTTTTGCTGTTTGTTTATTTGAAGGCCATGGGTCTGAAAGCCTTTACTAACCTCCATTATCGGAAGCCAGAAATATGCTCAATGGAGTGGAGGCCATTCTCCAGGGGTTCATTTCCAATTGGAAACCCATATCAACCGATGTACAGTGCCCCACCTGGAACTGCATGTGAGTAATCTAGAATTCTGTATTTGGGAGATGGCCAAAGGAGTATTTTGGGTAAAACTATAAAAAATAGTATTTTACCTGTGAATTATGCCAGGGTTTTTTTTTTTGCTACAATTAGACATCCTGCAAAATAGGCAAAATAATGCAAGATGGGAATGGTTTGGGCTAAATGGAAGAACTGGCTTCAAACATGAAAGGAAGTTTATTTTTATTGGTAGAACAAAATATCAGAAGCATAGAGGAGCAGGTAATGTGTGGTGATATGGAAGGACAGTCATTGTAAGTGAGTATGATACAGGAGAATGAAGTGTCCTTATGGAGCTTTATATCCTTATTGTGTATAGACCATAATTCACAGAATTCAAGGCAGAGGATATTTTTATTCTCAGATAACCAAACAGATGGCACCAGAGCAATGTGTTCAAATACTAGTTCCATTTACCACTGGAAGAACTGGAAGCACAAAACTCAGTCATAATCTTAGCTGAATAAGGTAATTAGGTAGAACTCCAAGGCAGACATTGCATCAGGGAAGCAAAATGAAACAAGGTCATGAGAATAGAACCCAAATAAAAGTTGTATTCCAGATCTGAAAACACTTAACATCTTTTAAATCCCTCTGGCCTACCACTGAGGATTAGTACAGTAATTTAAGTAGGGTTGATCCTTAAGATGGGTATCAGAAACACCACTTGAGAACAATGAGAGGCCTGACAATGTTATACAAGGGTAGACTCTCTGAGTTCAAGAGGCCCTATAAAGTCCAGAAGTTGAAACCATTTTGAAGTCCTAGTCAAGAGGTAGAAACTGTCTACTTTTCTGCTACTAGATTAAACCATATTAACAGAGCTTTATCAGACACATCTAAATGTTGACTAAAATGGACTGAAACTCAAATTCATTCATTTTCTTTAGCTGTTCATTTATTTGTTCACTCAACAAATATTTATTGGGGTCAGAAATTTAGTTACATACAGTAAAAGCAATGGCTTAATCTCTGCTTTTCTGGAATGTTTAGTCTAACAGGGAAACCTTACAGTGAAACAGGTAATTCCAAAAACCTGGGAAGAGTACATTAAATGGAAATAAGGTCAATAGAAATTACCTAAATTTCTCAAGGACCTATTATGTCCTTCTGGGAAAAGTTACATTTATACTAAGGCCTGAAAGAAGTTCTATGAAAAATAAAGTAGGAAATTAAAAGCACTCCAATAATGGCAGAAGATGTGGTTCAAAGGCAAGAGTCAAGCTAGATAAAGAGACAGGTCATGAAGATCTTATAGGGCATTTAAAGAATTTGGAATTAACTCTAATGCAGTAATACACTTGACAAGTTTTAAGCAGACAACCTAATATGTATTTTCAAAAGAACTCTGCTCTGTGGAAAAGGGGATTTGAACTTATGCTAAGACTGTCTGTATGAAATGTTACAAAAGCTAGTAATAGAGTTGAGAGACAGTGATGATTGGACTATTAATAAAAAAGCTATTTTCATTTGGTTGGTTATGATAAGAAAAGCAGGATGTAGGGAGCAAGGACTGAAAGACAATTCATAAATTTCCGATTTGGGTTAAGTGGGTAGATTTATTTTGGGACCTGTCATGGAGATGGGAAATACTGGAGAAAAGCAGGGGAAGATACAATGAGTTTACTTTTTGGACAGTTCAATTTGAAATGCCAATTAGGCAGCCCAAAAGAAATGAGCACAAGGGTGTTGCATGCACAACCTGGAGCTCAGAAGAGAGGTCCAGATGGGAGACAGATTAGGACACCTCAGCATAAGTATTGTAATGAAGCTATGTGTGAGCATATCTATGTGGACACAGTGCACAGTGACGAAGCTATGTGTGAGGATATCAATGCAGACATAGTGCACAGTAGGAAAAAGAAGACCTGAAACAGCTCTTAGGTACAAATCAAGGACAAGAGATCATATCCTCAAACAAAAATGGGAAAAGAGATGAGAAGTCAACTAGAAGGAGCTGGTATTATGCAAGTTAACCAGTGACTCTTGAAAAGGGCACGGTGATTAAGAATGTCAAACTAACCTAGAGACCAAGCAAGTACAGAGTTGACAATATTAATGTCATTAGAAGCTTCAGTGAAAGTCATGTTAGCAGAATTGGCAGCTACCAGACTGCTTTCTGGCCAACACTAGGGTGTCAGATGAGAAACTGGATTCAGTGACTAGACATCACTTTTTCTAAGCTTAGCTGTGGAGGAACAATGTAGGCTGACTATTTGTTGTTAATAATGGGAGAGAACCAAAACCGGTTTGGCTCAGTGGTAGAGCGTCGGCCTGTGGACTGAACGGTCCCGGTTCGATTCCGGTCAAGGGCATGTATCTTGGTTGCGGGCACATTGACGTTTCTAGCTCTCTATCTTTCTCCCTTCCTCTCTGTAAAAAATCAATAAAATATATTTTTAAAATAATAATAATAATAATAATAATAATAATAATGGGAGAGAGATGAGCATCAACATGCTGATACCTAGAATGAGATATACTTTTATTGACAATGAGCCTCAGGAGCAAATTCTTATATTGCTTCACACTGAGCATAAAGGGTTAAAGACATAGCTTAAAGGTGTGTGTCATTGAAACGCGTGTTTTCATTCTTCCAAAATAAAGCATTTCTCTTTTCTTTTACCTGGTGAAGTCGCCGGTGATAACTTAGGCCTTGTAGAATGGGCTATCACAGAAACAGTAAGAACGAACTTTCCAGAGACATGGATATGGGACCTCGTCAGTGTCGAGTAAGCTTTCAACAATTCTCCTTCTCATGTGTCTTTATTTCTATTTTCTTTTTGTTATTATTTACTAAACATTATTGCTGGGTACATAAAGCAATACCACATCTGTAAAATTATATAATACCATTCATTTGTCTGTGCTGACCAAATTTTTTTTTCTTCAGAATTTTTCTCATTTATTAATTTCATGCCTATAGATGTAACATGCCTCAATTTAATAAAGAAAAAAAAGCAATTCCTTGTTTAAAGGAATGTGACCTTTTTAAGGTTAAAGTTCATAAAAATACAGCTCTCAAGACATTTAAACACTATGAGACTTTTGTAATTCTTCATTAATACTTATCTATCTATCTATCTATCTATTTATTTATTTATTTCTCTGGACTGATTTTTAGGTCCCAGTTTAGACAAAAATTTCATTTTGCTAATAATCTGTCCTTGTAGTTCCTCAGGTTCCGCAAATGTTTCATTCCTCATCCCTGATACCATAACTCAATGGGAGGCAAATGGCTTTTGTGTGAATGGTGAGGCAGGGTTTGGCATTTCGTCAACAACTGCTCTGGAAGCCTCCCAACCTTTCTTTGTTGAAATGGCCCTACCCTTCTCAGTTGTTCGAAATGAACGATCTGATGTGATTGTCAGTGTCTTCAGCTACCTGAGTACATGTGCAGAGGTAAGCCTGTCCCCTTTGCTCTGGAGACCAAATCTAACAAGGGCAAACAAAGGTACTTAATATTTCCCTGGAATATGGCCACATTCTTTGCATTTTCCAATGCAAAATGGTGCTGGAAGGTAGTAAGACTTGTTTCCATGGTCCTCAAATGAAAACAACGTCTTTCATTCACAGCGGTGATTTAAATACTGTTTTGAGAATGTCAATTCATAATGATATGTGTTCTGGCTTATTTATCTTTGTATAAGAAGAGTCATTTGATATGTTTTATCTCTGATAACTTAAAATAGGTAAAGCAGAATTTTCTCAAGTTGGGAAGAGGAATAAGAACAGCAAAGCATTTTAGCATGCCACTCTCATTGCCATGATTTTTTCTTTTTTAGATTTCTGTGCAACTGGAAGAATCTGAGGATTTTGAGGCAAATATCAGCACCCCTAAAAATAATGGCAGTGAGGTTATTAAACCTGGACAGAGAAAAACATATGTCTGGACTCTTATGCCTAAGAAGTTGGGTAAGCAGCAATATACCTATGCCAATCTCTGGTGGAAAACCAGCCCATTTATATTGACCCTATTTTTCTTAAATTGTCTATACCCACAGTCAGCAAACTGTGGCTTGCAAGCCACATGTGGCTCATTGGCCCCTTGAGTGTAACTCTTCCACAAAATACCACAGCCTGGGCGAGTCTATTTTGAAGAAGTGGCATTAGAAGAAATTTAAGTGTAAAAAATTTGGCTCTCAAAAGAAATTTCAATCATTGTGCTTTTGATATTTGGCTCTATTGATTAATGAGTTTTCAGACCACTGGTCTATACAAACAATTTTCTCCATCCCATTTTTAATCCTACTTTTTTTAAATTCTCAATTAAAAAGTCTTATTTTTATTAGCTAATTTCTGGTTGCTAATATTTGAGTAAAGGAAAACCACTCTTCATTGTATAAAAGCATAATGTGATTAAAATACAATAGAAATGGCTAAAGCCAGTTTGGCTCAGTGGTAGAGCATCGGTCTGCGGACTGAAGGTCCCAGGTTCGATTCTGGTCAAGGGCATGTACCTTGGTTGCGGGCACATCTCCCGCAGGGGGTGTGCAAGAGACAGCTGCGGTCGATGTTTCTCTCTCATCGACATTTCTAGCTCTCTATCTCTCTCCCTTCCTCTCTGTAAGAAAAATCAATAAAATATATTTTAAAAATAAAATAAAATAAAATAAATCCATTGCCCTTTCCACAATGTTTTATTTTCCTGTTTTGTTTATTTGATCTCAGGATAAGTTAGGAGCCCTGGTTATCTGATGGTATGTCCCTATATTGTCATCTATAATATAAACAATATCAAGGAATCTCCTCATTGACTTTGCAAAACTATTATTTTTCCTTCAAGTTTCTCAAGTTCTAATTAATTAAATGAATTGCTCATTTAATAGAAGGAATCTTGAAACAGGTAAAACAGAATATACCAAATTATTTCCTATCAAGAGAAAGAATGGATTTTAGTCTAAGCTTAAATAGGATAGAATTCAGTTCCTCCAATTGAATTCTATCATTTCCCATCATAGAAGGATCCAATGGTCAATCTAATGTATGTTTGGGAATGTTTTCCAGGTAAAATGAATATCGTTGTAGTCGCTGAGTCCAGACAAAGTAGTGCTTGCCCAAATGGAGATGAGCAGCAAAATCTAAGCTGGAAAGATACTGTGGTCAAAAGTTTGTTGGTAGAGGTATGTACATGCCAAACTATCAAGCTCTCCCAGGTGAGAATAGTATTTAATAGGTTAAATATTAAAAGACATTTTCTTTGAAGAGACTTCATTGACCATAGTTACTCTTGACACAGGCCTTGTCATCTGACCCAGAATAGTAAAACATCGCTTAAAACAAGCTTGATGATTTTTTGTTTGCTCCCAACTCATGATGTTTCCTGTACACTTATTTTTATTCCCTTCCCCTTTTTAATTGACTCCAATCCAAGGCAAGTCTACTTGTTTTACAGTCCTATGTCGTTTCCATCATCCTCACCTGCAAAAACTTGGTCTATTGGAGATGCTAACCAGTATCAGCATCTGTCATGTCCCAAAATGATAACAAAGTTGTCTTTATCCCAAATATGGGAGGACAGGGCCTAAAATGAATGTTGGTAATGTACAGTGACTTCCAGGTATAAACAGAAGGGGGCAGTGAATAGATCTTCTCCCAGGGGCAAACATGTCCTGCCATACCTATGTACGTTGATGCTGATTACTTTTCCTTCATAGAAAGATCATCCAGACTCATTACTTTGTGCTTGTTTTTATTTACCCTTTGACAGCCCGAAGGTATTGAAAAGGAAATGACTCAAAGTTTCTTTATCCATACAACAGGTAAGAGGATCTTTTAGGTGGTAGATTAATTCTAATGAAAATTTATCAACACTTGTTATGTTGAGTATCCCAGAGATTTCATTCAAATTACCTAATAGGGGATTTTTATTTTTATTTTTTTTACTTTCTACCATTATGGTATAATTTTTGCCATTAAAAAACTATAGTATTTAGGGTGTTTTGTTTTATTTTATTTTAGTTTAGTTTTAGTTCACCCAACTCATTGGTCTGCCTCAAACTATTTTTCTTACTTTATATATTTTCTGCTCCTCTTGTCATCTGATTGTGACAAACTGTTGAACAGTGGTAAATCAAGATTATGCCCAAATTACACATATTGTAACCTTTGCTTTTGTACTCTTGGGATGAAGCAATCACTGCCCCTCAATTGCTTGCTTAATGGCCTCACAGTACTGTTTTATCTGATTGATAATGGTATTATTTTAATGACTAATAGGCATCTCTTTACCTATTGTGTGTGCTATTTTATATGTCCTAGTCAGCAGTTTTTGCCTTTTTTTTTTTTATACTTAAGTAGTATAGGCACTAAACTAATGGAGAATAGTAGCCATTATCTATCATACAAATGCAAATACCATTTTTTTTAAATGTATTGTTACTCTAAACTTGATCAAAACCTCAATTTATGTCTTCTAACAAGCAACTTGTAAAATTTTTTAAAAGGAATATGTTTCATAATGTGTTTGTACCACAAGTCTTTTTCTATTGTTTATGAAAAGAAGCCATCACATTGTTTATTTTATTGATATTTTCTTTCCAGGCACTAACGTCTCCATGACAATAGTTTTGGATTTGCCAGATAATGTGGTAGAAGGATCAGCCAGGGCCTTTATCACTGTTGTGGGTAAGTTGGTTAAATTTTGTGTTTCACAATTATTTGAAAAGTCTTGATTGAGGTGGTCTTTAAAAATTCCTTAAAATAACAGGATGGATAGATTTTTCTTATGCTATCCATTGGAACAGAATTATTGTTGAGGATTATCCTCCAAACTTGTTTTCATATGAGGATCTGAAGGAATTATAGCATTATTTTCAAATCTGTGTCCCTAGGGAACATTTGTTCCGGTGGATGGTAATTGGTGTTTAGAAAACAAAGTTGTATTATATTAATATGAAATATTAAATTCTCCTTTGGGGAATCAGAATATCTTTGCTTATTTTATTTTTTTATTTTTATTTTTTTTAATATATTTTATTGATTTTTTTACAGAGAGGAAGGGAGAGAGATAGAGAGCTAGAAACGTCGATGAGAGAGAAACATCGACCAGCTGCCTCTTGCACACCCCCTACTGGGGATGTGCCCGCAACACTGGTACATGCCCTTGACGGGAATCGAACCTGGGACCTTTCAGTCCGCAGACCGACGCTCTACCACTGAGCCAAACCGGTTTCGGCTATCTTTGCTTATTTTAAATGCTGGAAATATCCCCAGTAATAGGAGAAATCTGTTTTTACAAAAGTAAAACTTGTTTATCTATCATTAACATTAACATTTTGGAGGAAAGGAATGGATTACAGTTTATAGTTCATAGGATCAATTTCTCAAAAAACAAAGAAGCAAACAAACCTAATTTTTTAACTTTCTCTTCCCTGGTAATGAGATTTTTTTCAGAAACTCCCTTAATTTTACTCTTCATATCTGTCTCTTTTTCAGAATTACTTCATGAAAAATTTCCTTGTTTCCACCTTTTAGACTTAATTTTTAAATATTTTCTACTTTCACTATGCCTCTTTAATCTGTACTTATTAATGCTCAGATGCCAACTTTCAATGATAGTAACTTTCTGCTTTTCCTATTTTTAGGGGATGTTCTAGGACTTTCGATGCAGAATCTTGAGAATCTTCTGCAAATGCCCAGTGGAGGTGGAGAGCAGAATATTGCCCTGCTAGCGTCTGATACTTATGTCCTTGACTACCTGCAATCTACTGAACAATTGACAGAGGAAGTTAAATCTAAGGCTTTCTCTTTCTTATCTAACGGTGAGAAGGTTCAAGTAATTTCTGCCCATAATAGATGAAATCAGTGGTTCCTGATACCAAGATGTCAAAAAGCTGAAAGTGGATTTGAACTGAGTATAGGCTGAGTTTGAACTATGTTTTTGTTTGTTTTGTTTGGGGTATTTTCAAGATTTTTTTAGACTTTAATATCTGTGTGGTCATTTAGTTTTACAATTTAAATCTGCAGCATTTCAAATTATGAGTTCAGGTTTTTTTAGTGCCTAATATTTTGCCAAACTACTTTGTGTGACCCTGTTGCTGCTATTATTGTAGCTAGAAATGGTTCATTTATCAACTTCTGTATGTATCTTTCAATTGTGTTTCATTGCAATGAAGTGATTGAATGTATGTGCCAAAAAAAAAATACATAAACCTTGTAAAAATGTGATGTTAAGGAAAAGTCAGAGGTACTATTTATTTGAGTTTTCTTTTCAGAAAGATAATGCAAACAAAATAACCTTAATGAAATTTTGTAAATTCCAATACCTCTTTTTTGATGATTTTATTACTTCACTGGTATAACTATACGAGAGGCCCAGTGCATGAAATTCGTGCATGGAGGTTGGCGAGAGGGGTCCCTCAGCCCGGCCTGCACCCTCTTGCAATTCCACAGGGATCAGGCATAAAAAAGGCAGTCACACATACTTCTCACAATCTGGGCTGCTGGCTCCTAACAACTCACCAGCCTGCCTGCTTGATCGCCCCTAACCACTCTGCCTGCCTGGCTATTGTCCCTAATAGCCTCTGCCTGCCTGACTAATTGCCCCTAACCACTTACCTGCCTGCTTAATCACCCCTAACTGCTCGCTTGCCTGCCTGATCACCCCTAACTGCTCTACTGCTGCCTAATCACACCTAAGCACCTCTGCCTGCGTGCCTGATTGCCCCTAACCGCTGGCCTGCTTGCTTTATCGCCCCTAACTGCTTGTCTGCCTGCCTGTTCGCTCCTAACCACCTCTGCTTCGCCCTGGCCCCTGTAGCTTTCTCTGAAAGTACGTCCAAAAGGTTGTTTGGCTCTCTGGTCTAATTAGCATATTATGCTTTTATTATTATAGATTGTCACATAGTATCATTAAATCCGGACAAGGTAGAAGTTATTTTTTCTCAATATAGATAGAGAACCTGAGTTTCAGAAGTTAAATTGAAATGATCATCTAGTAATTTATGTCTACCTAACACCAAAACACATGGCTCATTTACTACATCATTCTTTTTCTTCTAACTTTCTTATATTGACAAAATAATTTCCTGCAATGTTGTATTTTAGGCTATCAAAAGCAGCTGTCTTTCAAGAACATTGATGGCTCATATAGCACATTTTGGCGGAGGAATCAGAAAGGAAGCATATGGTGAGACATGAAAATTTTATTTTAAAGTAATGTAGAAATGATCTGAGGAGGGCTTATTAGAGAATGAGAGCAGTTGAGTTCAGTGGAAATAGAAAAAGCAAAATGGGTTTCAACGTGAATTTACAAAGGTGAATCTAAATAATACTAAAATAGTTGGTTATTCCAGTTCTAATGCAGTCTTCCTAAAGTCTCATGGCAAATTTAATGAGAGCCCCTCTACTTCCATAGCTTGTTAACTCCATGAAAAATGCCACAACTTAGTCTGCATTTCTCAGAGTCCCATGCTCTACTCAGGAGAGTAAAACAAAGCATCTAGTTATACCCACTCTCACCATAAAAGGATAATCTAATGAACTATATATTTAGAACTTTGTGGAAATTACCTACTCTTATTTTCACATATTGCTATTCAAAACATTTTATTGCCCCAAAGGACAGAGCCACTATCCATACTCATTAGTCAACAGTAGTCAAATTGGATGCACCCATACCCCAAAGGAGACAATGGTGGTGAATCTGTGGAGTTGCTGACATTATCATTCCTTTCTTATCCAACCTTTGTCTAACTGGTGGTACGCATTGCAGGCTCAGTGCCCTTACCTTTAAGACATTTGAGAGAATGAAGAAGTATGTTTTCATTGATGAACAAGTTCAACAACAGACCTTCATCTGGCTTTCGAGCAAACAGGAAAGCAATGGTGGCTTTAAGAGTGATGGCGAGATTTTCCACAATGCCTGGGAGGTGAGAGATTAACAGTAGTATGTTTTCCCTGCTTCTTTGTTTTGTCTACCTTCCCTGCCTCTGGCCTAACTACCCTGGAACAAGAATATTTTTTTCTTGTGAATATTACCTTTTCTGAGTCTGCTGAAGTCATAGGCCAGTGGTGTATTAGTCAGCAGCATCACTTCGAGATATAGCTCCTCTTGAATCTACTATTTATTTGCCTTACTGTGTTTAGCCCTTCCATAGAACCAATCTATTTTAACCCTTTGCACTCCACTGTCTCCTCTCAGGGGACATCGGAATTCTAGCATATCACTCGGATGTCCCCTCTCAGGGGGGACATTGCAGTTTATTAGTGATTACAGGGAATTGAATTAATTCAACACACGTTTCTGCCGCAAAGTAGCGTCGAGTAGCTGGTAGCCAATGTCCAGAATGGTTCGGAGTGCAAAGGGTTAAGATATAAACTAGAGAGAGGAGGATGGGGTGAGAAAAGGAACTTAGAGAGGAGACCTTCATAAGTTTAGAGACAGAAGATATACTAAAGGAGGGGGCCTTGAGTAAGGAATTCATTCCTATTTATGAGTGACAAAAAATTTTAGGGGGAGTATCTAGTAAATTACATTTTTTCAATGAAGCACTCTTCCGATACCTTATCAAGTCAAAGCATGAAGGCCTAGCTTGCCCTAAGTCAAAACGCAGATGAGATGATGTATGTCTGGGACAACAATCATTCCTTCCCTTTTCTGTCCATCTTTAGGTAAATCACTAGCATTCTCCCTCCTGTTTTCCTTTGTAGACTGCTACCCACCTCCATCCCATCCTGTGTCCTTGATTCACCTCACATTTTTATTTTCCTCTATAAATCCCTTATCATGATATTTTATCATGCCCTGTTAGCCTCTGGGATATCCTGGGCTTTTCTTTTGGCTCTTATTCATAATCACCACTTTTTATTTTTGGATTTTTGGAATGTAAAGCTAATCCACTTCAAAGTATAGGTGAATAACAACTCTGCATGGTATTTAATTTTAATGTGAATTGTTTTCGCATTGTTTTATGATTACGTAGTATGAAAAAATGTCTTTGAATTATTTCAAACTTACTCCTCACATTAGGAGGCCCCTAACAGAGAATAGCACTTGTTCCCATGTGGAAAATCAGAATTTTTCGTGTTCTCTTCTAAAACATCCCCTCATTTCTTCTTAATGGCTTCATTGCTGGTCTCTACATCAGTTTGTCTGATCTTACCCAATCCTTTTTCCATAACTGTGTGTGTGTGTGTGTGTGTGCATTTTGAATTGGGTCAGAGAAAAAAGCAAGGAGAAGAATAAACACCTGCACTGCAGAGGAATAGTGATACAACCTGCTATAGCTTAAGTGTGTGCTTTGGGTCCCCACATCTTATTTTAGTGCCCAACATCTCCCATTATTTACACCTTTATAACTGAGCTCTTTAGAGGTGTCTTTTTTATTTATATGGAAGAGAGAAGTCACTTTTTGCTTAAATAAATAAAACAAGAATTTAATATTAGATCAGTGACCCCAAATGCCTAGTGAATGTTACTTGCTTTGGTATCACTAAAACACCCATTAAAACTCATTTCCCTATTCTGTACTCCTGACTTTTTGAATCAGAATCTCTTATGTGAATACTGGTTTATTTCATAAGTTCCCCAGGGTAATTTTATGCACAGTTTGCAAACTACATAACCTACAAATGTTTTTCTAATTTTATACCGCAAGAATCCATGAGACCAGATCATTGTTACCACTTAGGATACTTTTCCGGGGTTGTTTAAGAAGTTTCCCAGCAACTTTCTGTTGTATCCCATGAGAAATCCTTTGCTTTTTCAAATTAAAACCAAATTAAATAAAATACGGCTCTTCGTATAAATTGCTTGTAATTCATGCTTAATACCAGGCCATAAAAATACAATTATACATGTCATTAAGTATACTTGAGATTAATTGTGTGTTTTATTTCATTATTACATTGAATCTTAATGAATTTTTATTCAAACAGCATAGTTATTAACAACTTAATTTAAAAATTACACATTTTCAGGTTTATAAATAATAGTAATTGTTTTCAGTGCTTCTTTTATCCCTTGTCTCACTTCAGAAGGATAGCTGTTCTTTTGTGCTCTGCCATCCTGTATGACTCATTGTTCCTTTGTGTTTAGGAAGAAGTAGAAGAGGAGGAGGAGGACATTTTACTCACTGCATATGTTGTTGGAGCATTCCTTGAAGCTGGGCTCAATTTTACTGTAAGGATTCTCATCATCTTTCTGTTTCAGTCAGCTGAATGCATATTGGATAGACTGTGAAATAAGAGTGATTTGGAATTCTTACACCAGATGAAACATCAAAAGAACATTTCATTCATTACCTCTCTTTGAGTTGATGTTACTCAAACTATTTTTCATTCATAGAAATCTTTGATGAACACCATTGAGATTTTCCCTAGGGAGAATATGTACTAGTATATGTACACACACAGGAGGTTTTCATTCTGTTTTCAGTATTTACAGATCTTCTGAAGTTCAGCCATGAATTTTAGATTAAGAACCCATGCACTAAGTATAACCATAACCTAGGTTCTGTTTCTCTAACCAATTCAATGTGTAAACATTTCAATGTAAGTGTTGTTCATCTTGGCTGCCTCCCAACCCAAAGGTTAAGTTATCTGATTGCACACTCTATTCCTAAAAAAGGATACTAGGAACTTTCAGGATCATTGTCTATCTCAAAAACCATCTTTAGAAATATAAGCTTCTATTTTAGGTAATCGAATAATGCATCTTAAGTCTAAAAGTAAATGTGTATTCTTAGCCACATATAATAAATTTATATTATTAACTGAAATATGACAGATCAGATATAGAAACCAGCATTTTAAGATTATTTAAATTTTATTTCTCAAACACTAGTAATCCATCTAAAATTAATTGTATTGATACTTATAATGAAAAATACATATGTATACATATGAACAGGTTTGAATGTAAAATATGTTTTAAGGATACATAATCTCAGATGTAAAGTGTGATTGGTTTTTTCAGCAAGTTTATGAAGTGTTCGTGTATAATTTTAAAATATGTTGTCTTTCTACATGACTAGTTTCCTGCTCTGCGACATGGGCTCTTTTTCCTGGAGGAGGCAATGGAAAATGGTGTCACCAATGGCTACAATCAGGCAATGCTAGCTTATGTTTTTGCATTAGCTGGAAAAGAGGAGAAGGTGGAATCCTTACTCCAGATTCTGGATCAATCTGCTACCAAAGAAAGTAATTATTTACTTTTGCTAATAGAGATGACCTTGGGAATAAAGTGATGAAACTTTCTTAGCATTCATGTAGGGACACTCTCTTTTTTTCCGTTTTCTTTTTATTTTATTTTATTATTGACTAAGGTATTACATATGTGTCCTTATGCCCACCTTGCCCCCACTCATGCTCTCACCCCCCTGGTGTCTGTGCCAGGTTTGGTTTCTTCTGAAGCCATATTTTTGGTTTGTAGACAACCATCTCCTCTCTCCATGTTCACATTGTGCGAGTTTTCTGTGTGCATTACCCCTGGTGTCTCTTTCACGTATCCAAATTTCCTCTTCTAAGGACACTAAGTAGATTGGATTAGGGCACACCCTAACAGCCTTGTTTTAACTGAATCACCTCTTTCAAGGTCCTGTCTCCAAATAGAGTCACATTCTGAAGTTCTGGCATTTAGGACTTGAACATCTGAATTTTGAGACATACAATTCAGTCTATAACAGAGGCCAAGAAATGGAATTTGCATCATTTTATATGCAATCAAGTTTTCTTTATAAGGACTGTGTTAAAATTCTTCCTTTTTCTCAGATAATGTAATATATTGGGAAAGAGCTAAGAAACCCAAGACAGAAGCACACCCATACTTTATTCCTCCGGCCCCTTCTGCCGACACTGAAAAGACTTGCTATGTGCTGTTGGCCATCATTTCCCAAAAAGCTCCTGACCTCGCCTATGCTAGTCAGATTGTGCAGTGGGTTGCTCAACAAATGAATTCCCAAGGAGGCTTCTCTTCCACCCAGGTAATTGATGCAAGTCTGGTGTTAATAAAGATATTTGACAGCAAAGATAAAGGATATTTGCTGTTATAAGTCCTATTCTAATCAGTTAACAATGATTTATTACTTCTTGTGTATCAGAGACTCTTATTTATGTACAGATTAATAAAGTGAAGTACCTTTTCAATGAATTTTGCCTGATCTATATCTCTATTTACTCAGTAAAAATAAAATGTAAGGCTAGAAGAGATTGTTGTCATAAACACCAGATTCTTGGTGATAAGTTAGATAGCTGATGATATTATGGTTAAACTACATATCAACCAAGAAGAAGTATTTTTCTTTACTTCTGTTGTCTGCACTTTGGGGAAAACAGATGAAATGAGTGGATAACAGAAAAAATAATTATGAAAAACAATTATTACTAGTATCGATATATCTTTTCTTAGCAGGAAAAATAATTTAAATGCAAAGAAATGAAGTTTTATTCCCACAGGGAAAATCTTCACTCCCCTCTTGGCTTTACTTTTTTTCAGTCTTAGCTTCTGACTAAAACCATGTTTGTGAATCTCTTAACAGCTATCTCCAAATTCAGTCATCATCCAAGGCAACTTAATTACATAACATTTTGATTTTTCAGAAAGTGTTTGGCACTACTTACAAAAGCAGAGATTATATAATCTTTTATTTTTTTAATTATATTTTTATTGATTTTTTTACAGAGAGGAAGGGAGAGAGATAGAGAGCTAGAAACATCAATGGGAGAGAAACATCAACCAGCTGCCTCTTGCACAACCCCCACAGGGGGTGTGCCCACAACCAATGTACATGCCCTTGACCGGAATCGAACCTGGGACCTTCAGTCCGCAGACCAACGCTCTACCACTGAGCCAAGCCAGCTTCGGCGAGATTATATAATCTTTTAGAAAAATAAAATCTGATTGAGATCTGTAGAAAAAAATCAATTTAAATGGTAGCAACTAGCACAAGCAAATGTCCTGTCCTTTAAGATATTGCTTCTCATTGTTCTATTAGAGGCCCAGTGCATGAAATCATGCATGAGTAGGGTGCCTAGGCCTGGCCTGCAATCAGGGCCAACTAGGACCTTCCGGCTGCCAGCCGTGCCTTCCTTTATTTTGCACCACCCCTTGGTGGTCAGCACACATCATAGTGAGTCTCCTGTTCAAACTCCACTGGGGACAATTTGCATACTAGGCTTTTATATAGAGAGATTGACCTGTCTTGGGATGTTTCATGGACTGATTCAAATTTCATTGTCTTTTTTTTTTAATAATAAATCTTTATTGTTCAGATTATTACAGGTGTTTCTCTTTCCCTTCTTCCCCCATAGCTCCCCTCCACCTGATCCCCAACTCCACCCCATGCCCTTACCTCCCACCCCTGTCTTCATCCATAGGTGTAAGATTCTTGTCCAATCTCTTCCCTCACCCCCTGAGAGTTGTTAGTCCAATCCTATTGTCAAATGATAACTAAAACTTGCAGCGTAATGGAGCTGGTACTATTGCTTATACTCTTCCATATAGGACACTGCTGTCTGTCTTCTTGCCGTAACCCGTTACATGAAGCTAACATTCGCCAACGGTGAAAACAATGTTACCGTTAGCAATGAAGAATACAGTGAGGTCTTCCAGGTTAACGATGACAACCGCTTACTCGTCCAGCGTTCAGAACTAACAAAAGCATATGGACAATACACAGTGGATGTAGAAGGAGAAGGTTTTGCATTTATTCAGGTAATAGAAGTCTACCTGAGAGGGAAATGAATGTTGCCAGTAAAAAGGTCAGGTTATCAACTGAGTTATATATGAAGTGCTATTTTACCATTTTACATAATTCCGTCATTATTTCTACTCATTCTCTAATTAATAGCTGAAAATGCAGGTTATTTTATGAGAGGTATTTAATCTTAAGGATAACTGGGTAACTGGGGAGTTTCTTGAGGAATGTCACCGTTAAAAAGTATTCTGACATTTTTATTAAATTATGTTGTTGAAGATTCTTGTGTATTCTGAAAGCTAAATAATTACATTTAGCCTTATTCCCTGATAAGTAGAGACATAAAATAAAGTACATTAGTCATGGAAATAAGAGAAACAATAAGTCCTACAGGTTTTACTACAGAAAAAGTAGATGGATTTTTTTTTTTTAATGATTTGTTATCTTTCCTAGGCTACCCTTAGGTATAATGTGCTACCATCTGAGAAGGAATCCGGATTTTTCCTTTCCTTGGAAATGGCAAAGAAAAACTGTTCAGATGAATTACAGAATGATTTTGAGCTGACAGTAACCATCAAGTAAGTGTCCATTTTAATATCAACTCCCAGATTAGAGAGAGGGTAAATATATATAAAAATAATTATTTTAGACAGTAGCAACATAACAAAATATGAATGATAATAACCAATGATGATTTTACTTGTTGGTGCATAATTTCTATAGCATAATCACTTTATGGCTTTTTGTCTAGATACCACAATTTAATACATCTTTTTTTATATATATATATTTTATTGATTTTTTACAGAGAGGAAGGGAGAGATATAGAGAGCTAGAAACGTCGATGAGAGAGAAACATCGACCAGCTGCCTCTTGCACACCCCCTACCGGGGATGTGCCCACAGCCAATGTACATGCCCTTGACCAGAATCGAACCTGGGACCTTTCAGTCCGCAGACCGACGCTCTGATACTGAGCCAAACCGGCCTCGGCAATTTAATACATCTTAAGCTAGAATTATGCAAGTATAATTTATATTGTGTGTAAGTGAAATTTGCAAGCTTCTGACACACCAATACTACAACAATGTTTTTTGGGTGTTTTTTTTTGTTTTGTTTTGTTTTGTTTTTAATGGAAATGCTGTTCATTTTGGACAATAGAAATACTATTTTTCCACCTATAAACAAGCACAGAGATGCCTAGAGGGCAAAACCTACAACTGTTATTTTATAACTGTACAGAGTAAAATTTCAGATTTTTAATTTTCACAGTAGGATAGCAAAATAAGTATTTTAAAATATAAAAATGTAGCCGGAACCGGTTTGGCTCAGTGGATAGAGGGCTGGTCTGTGGACTGAAAGGTCCCAGGTTCGATTCCGATCAAGAGCACCTACATCGGTTGCGGGCACATCCCCAGTAGGAGGTGTGCAGGAGGCAGCTGGCCGACGTTTCTCTCTCGTCGATGTTTCTAGCTCTCTATCCCTCTCTCTTCCTCTCTGTAAAAAATCAATTATATACCCTGTTTCCCTGAAAATAAGACAGTGTCTTATATTAATTTTTGCTCCCAAAGATGTGCTAGGTCTTATTTTCAGGGGATGTCTTATTTTTCCATGAAGAAGAATACGATACACATTTATTGTTAAATGAAAATAAAGGAAATTTATTACCTGTATACGGTACGAGAGTATGGTAGTTGTCAACACAAACCAGACAAACTGTGAATTCTACAGTATCAAGAATTTACTCATTTATTCAATGACAATCATGTCATCATCTTCTGGAACATCATCATAACAATCCAATTCCTGAATTTCCTGGTGAATTTCTTATGACTCCAAGATCTTTCAGTATCTATCAGTGGACCAAATCTCTCATGTTTAGCCTAGGGGGGCCTTATTTTCAGAGGATGCCTTATATTTCACTCAGAAGAAAACTTGTAAGTAGGTCTGATTTTCAGAGAATGTCTTATTTTGGGGGAAACACGATATATATATATATATATATAATTATTGGTTTTTTATAGACATTATATATAGACACCAAAGAGTTTTAACCTTAGTTAATATGTGAATAAACACTGAGAAAAATTAGTTTGGAGGATTTTCTTAGGATTTCCAAATGATAATATCATGAACACCAGAGCTAAAATAAGAACTAAATACATTGTAGAACTCTTAACTTCATGTCCCAACAATCCTTTCCAGTGTTAAGGACATAGCCTAGATCTCTTAGGGACATGTCTATGATTCTATCAATATCTCACTTTTTAAACAAATATTTTCTTTAAGTTTTATTCAAATCTAAGGCTGCTATCGGTACATATAATATCAATTTACAGGCTTTGTTTATAAGTTCTGTCTTTAAGACTTCAGGTAATCTTAAAAGCAGGATTTAGGTATTATAGATTCTAGTTTCAAATAATCCATTATTTACTTCAACCTATGTTGCTTTGTCTCGTCTCATCCATTATCATTCTAGTTATGCCTATTCTAAGATGTTTAGGAATGACTTTCTTGCCTAGCCAGTGTGTCCCAGTGGTTGAGCACTGACTCATGAACGAACAGGTCACCAGTTTGATTCCCACTAGGGGCACATGCCCAGTTTGATTCCCACTAGGGGCACATCCCCAGTAAGGGCATGCAGGAGATAACCAATTGATGTTTCACTCATCAATGTTTCTATCTCTCTATCTCTCTCCCTTCCTCCCTCTCTAAAATCAGTAAAGATATGTTGTTGTTTTTTTAAATTAAATAAATAAATAAATAAATAAATAAATAAATAAAAGAATGGCTTTCATCAAGTGTTTTTTCTTTAGCTGTGCCTTTCCTCCAGACCTATGGCTAATTAGTATGTTTGTACCCACAACCCGTACCATAAAATGAGTCACTTTTCTAAACTGATGTCTACGCTGTGCTTTGTTTTAAATTTCAGATACATTGGAATACGCAATACCTCCAAAATGGTCCTTGTTGATGTAAAAATGCTCTCAGGATTTACTCCAGTCATGTCATCCACTGAGGAGGTAAATAACAGAAGTCCAGTCTTTCAGCACAGGAAAAGCAATAGTGTGTAGAAGAAATAACTGGTTAGCAAAACCAAGCTGTGGGATTCTGCATTTAAACAAATTTATTCATACTTCACATTTTCATTTTTGCTGCAACAGTGGAAGGATGGTGTTATCAACTTAGAGCAATTAGCAGACGTTATTTTTCATAGCTTATAATCTATTTCTTACTTTAATTCTACTATGCTTATGCAAACATAATGGCACAAGGGAACATTCCATAATATAGATCCTGACAATTAGTTAAATAAAAATTATGAAGTATTCAATATCAGAATAATACCTTTTAATATTTGTTCCCCATCCTTCCCTGACAATTTCTTCAAAGCTTGAGAACAATGGCCAAGTGATGAAGACTAAAGTCAAGAATGACCATGTTCTTTTCTTCTTGGAAAATGTAAGTTGAGTAATAATTTTCCCCATGGTTTGTTCTTTTCTTTTTCTTCTGATTGGATGAGTCTATTTCTTATAGATATACATGACAGGGTTTCTCAAAAAATATGGGACAGTGGTCTTCTATCAGTGGCCTTCTATTCCAATGTTCACCTTTTCCCTGTTAACTCTAATATTATTTCATGTGTCTTGACTGCCTGACTAGGTAATTCTCAGGTTTAGAAGCATCATTTCCCTGTTTTTCACTCCTCATGGCATCTAACATAGTCTGGTAACAGAGTAGATGTATAATTCTTTTATACCTTTGACTTGAGCTCCAGGGAAGGTGACATGAGTTCTAGAATCATTCTTTCTATGTGTATATCATTACCATTCATTCACATGAATGCCTACATTACTGCTTTCAACTAAATTTCCTGCATCTCAATATAAGCAATGGCATTTAAATTTATATACAATTTAATGTTACCTAATTATTAAGATTAAGTCATTCCATAAAATTATGTAAAGTATTAGTACCCTGGATCTATTTAATTGGGTACATCATGAACTTTTGGAGCTATTTTCTCAGTGATTTTGTTTCCAGATCTACTCTGATGTGTTTGTAATTTGTATCTTTGTAGGTTTCTGGTCCAGCAAAGAGTTTCACTTTCTCTGTTGAGCAAAGCAACCTTGTGTCCAACATTCAGCCAGCCCCAGTTATGGTCTATGATTATTATGAAACAGGTAGGTGAGCAACAACCCTAAAGCTAGTGAACATAATATCTAAATATAACAATCCCTGAGCTGCCAAATTTTCTAAAATCACCTCCAGTCTACAAAAACTATATAGCAAATGGTTTTATACTGATGATTTGTTTTTGGTGTTTTTTTTTTGTTTGTTTTTTACTTCATGATATATCTACTGAGAGGGCCAGTTTCCAATTACCAGAATTTTTCAAACCTAGAATCCTTTAGATACTACGTGTAATAGCATCCCTTTAACTTGAAATATAAACTATGTTAAGTGTCATCTCCTTTTTGTTGTTATTATTATTACTGGCAAGTCTTACCATTTTATGCTACCTTTATGAATTTCAATTTGAGAAGGGGAATAGGCAATATTCTGAAATGTTATAGGAAAATGTTGGTTGATTAGGTTCCAAACCAATTACTAAGGTGTCATAGAGACCATACAGAATTTCCCTGGATTGTTAATGATATCAGTTCCTTGATGAATGTCAGATAAAGTTTGTCAGGAAGTATTTAAATTCTGGCTCTGTCATTTACTAATAGAATATATTTCATCAAGTGCCTTAAACTTTTTTTTCTTAGTCTTCACTGGAAAATATATTTTTATTTATTTTTAGAGAGAGAGAGGGAGAGAGAGAGAGGGAGAGAGAGAAAGAGAAACAATGATGTGAGAGAAAAACATTGGTTGCCTTCAATACATTCCCCAACAGAGATCAAACCCAAAACCTAAGTATGTGCCTTTACCAGGAATGGAACCGGCAACCTTTTGTTATAAGGGTTGATGATCCAACCAACTGAGCCACCTGGCAAGGGCAAGTGCCTTAAATTGTAATAAGACATTTTTGGATTTCAAAAACAGAAGTGATTGACTGTCTTGCAAAATTACTGAAAAGATTAGACCTAGTGTATCTACAATTGTGTGACTTAACTGATTATAGAAAGTTGGAGATCTAAGAAGGATGAATTTTTCCTTTATTTTCCAGATGAGTATGCCATTGTTTTTTACAATGTCAACAGTGTTTCAGTTTCCCTTTGAGAAAACAAAGCACAGGAAAAGGTAAGGAAATTGAATATATCATAAAACATTGAAAACACAACTGGTAAGCAAATGAAAACCTAAAGATAGAACAATAAATGACACAAAGAAAGGTCTCTTATTTATGGAAGATTGGATGCTAGATGAGTATTCTCATAGTCATTAAGATTTTATTAATTTCTTTAAAATAGCTTGAAAGAATGTATAGCTATGTACATGCCTTTTACAAGTCTCTCACTTAATAAAATCCTCCTTTTTTGTTTTATAAGTTGATAGGTCATTATGTTGTATATGCATATACATTAAGCTGTATATGCATATATTTATAAATAGTCATGTATATGTTAAATGTGTATGTGGGTGTATTTGTGTGTGTGTGTATAGGTATGTTTGTATATTTATATATTTATTGATGTCTACATATGTTTTTAAATCCCAGGTGGAAAGCTATTTGCTTTGAACAAACTTATCCTTCTGAATCAACCTGAAAGAAAACCATTCATAGTCTGTAACCTGTATGACTTCTCAAATTTTATTTCCTTATTACCCATTAAATGCTGTGATTTCACATTTGAGTCTATGAATTTCTTTTCTTTCAGTACTTTATTCATAATTTCCATCCTAAAAAAAAAAATGCAGGACTTCATTTGTTAGCAAACTACATAGTATTGTCAATACTAAATTCAAGTTTTTAGCCATTATGATATACAGAAAATATGGAATCCCTAATACCCAGAGAAAGTCAAAGTTGATGAAGAGTAAAGAAAGAGAATAAATTGAAGAGAATTGCATGTGAGTTCAAGAAAACAAAAATAAAAACCAAAACACACAGGAATGTTTCAGTAAAAGATTATCAAAAAATGGGGGGGGGGGGGGGAGAGGAGAATTGCAGAGTCACAAATTGACTGACAGATGCACTGAGTGAATTTATGTTCATGATTGAGAAGGTAATCCAAGAGCATTTTATCATAATAAATTTTTTTTTCTGAGCTTATCACTTACTACTGAAAAGTGATATACAAAGTCTGTCCTTTGCTTAACCTAACACTACTATCAATATAATGAATTCAGATTGAGAAAAGTGAGCAGAAAGGAACTGGAGAAAATAGGAATGGGAAATGATTTCACTTCTAACTTTAACACAGACCTTTGAATGCTAAGCTACTGTTGCAGACAAGAAAAATCCACAGATAAATTTTCCAGTTTGGGATTGAAAAAATTTGAAAACAGAGTGTCCTAGACTCTGTCAATGTTCAACAAATTTAAAATATAGTGTTTTAATAGGAGATGGTTAGACTTATTTATTTTTGTAGTCTCCCTTATAATAGCTAAATTACAGCTGGCTCTTAATAAATATTTAATTATAGATGAATTGTTAAGGTCCATCCATGTCTGATACTACAGAAGTTTATTTTACTGTGTTAATAATTTCTTCTTACCATCTCAGTTCTCCTGTTTTTACCAAAACATGCCGCATCCTATGTGTAGATAAGACAACATTATTCTTGTCCCGGTGGGTTTGGCTCATTAGATAGAGCGTCAGCCTGTAGACCAAAGGGTCACAGGTTTGATTCCAGTCAAGGGCGCATACCTTGATTACGGGGCTGGCCCTGGTCTGGGTGTGTGCAGAAAACAGCCAATTATGTATTTCTTTCAGATCTATATTTCTCTCTGTCTTTCTCTCTCTTTTCCACTCTCTCTAAAACTCAATGAAAAAATATTCTCAAGTGAGGATTAAGAAGAAAAAAAAAAAGACATCATTATTCTTGTATTTTAAAACACCCCAGGCTTGAACAAAATAAACTGACAAACAAAATAGATCCAGAGACCTGGAAGCATGGGACAGACTAATAAATCCGAGGAGAGATTAACCATAGGATTTATATGCATATATGCATAACACATGGACACATACAATAGTGTGTGAAGGCCTAGGGGGGATATGAGCAGGGTGGAGGGGGTCAATGGAAGACATCTGCAATATTTTAAATAATAAAGTTAAAGTTTTTAAAAAAATAAATAAAACCACCCCAGGCTCTATAGCTATTCAAAGATTCCGCTCAAGGAAAAATGTGACTCTTCTAGTACATTTTGTGCTAATGGTTCAAGAAAAATGAAGGGAATTTACTTTGAGGGAAATAATTTCTCTTGGTGGGAAACTTTATTTTTCCAAAGTAAATGATCAATTCTTAGTCTGTATTTTATTTGACATGTAGTGAGTATTAGTCTGCTCACGTAATAATATTGTTCCTCAAATGATAAGCAAGCAAGAAAGATATGCAAAGTCAACTACTTGCTGTACCTTGAGGCACAGAGAAAGTCTTGGATATAATATTTACATTCGCAAAATTTCTTGCTGTTACAATGAGAATGGAATTTAATAAACTTTGAAGACTATAGATGAACAATATACATTACCTACTGTATTCTTTAACTGAATGTCCAATAGGCACCTCAATAGGATCCATCATTTATACCGAAAGAATATTCTACTGAGAATCCTATCCAGTGTGTGATAATTTCATCACCAAACAATCATATGAGTATCAACTTAACTCCTTCCCTCACTTATCTCTCACACTTATTAGTTACTATTGATAATTCATGAGAAAAGGAAAAAGACTAAAATACCAAGTAGGAAATTTAGGGTCAGCTTTATTGAGGCAGTAACATATGAGCAAAAGCTTAAAAGAGGTGAAGGAGTTAGCCAAATAGATGTCTGAGGGAAGAATATTCCAGGCAGTGGGCGTAGATAGAAAAGGTGAGATGTGAGGGCATTACGTAGAAGTGTGTACTCTGTGTTCGAGCAGCAGCAGCTAAGTCAGTATGGCCAGAAAAGAGAAAGCAAGAGGACTGTATAGAACAAGGTAAGAAGATTAAAATCATAATGGAGAGAGAGAGTGAGTAGGCAACTGAGGGTCAGTCAGTATAAGGATGTAAGTTTTAACTCAGAGCGAAACTGGGAACCAACTCAGGGTTTAAAAAAAATAAAATTAAAAAAAACGTCTGGGACCCGTATGTAGGTCTGAGCCCCAGATGGAGGTGTGGGCCCTGGGAGGGCAATTTGGGCCAGGGACGGAGGTCTGGGTCCTAGGGGGTCAGTCTGGTACCTCACGTGGACATTTGGGTTATGGAATGGTAGTCTGGGTTACAGATGGAGAACTTACCCATGATACAAGGCTGGATTCTGTGTTGGAGGCCTGGGCCCCAGGATAATCTTAGGGCCCCACCATGATGGTCTGGGACCAGGATGGAGGTCTGAGCTCCTGATGAAGGTAGGGCAGTTTGGGCAAGGGTGGGAGGTCTGGCTCCATTTGGCGGTCTGGTACCTCAACTGGACATTGGGTTATGGAATAGTGATCTGGGTTCTGCATGGAGATCTAGTCCCATGATACACCACTGTGTTCTGTGTTTATGGCCTGGGCCCCGGGTTGGCATTCTCGGCCCTGCCTTGATGTTCTGGGACCCGGATATAGGTCTGAGCCCTGGATGTAGGTCTGGGTGCTTGGAGGGAATTGTGGTCACTAGGGGGCGCTATGGGCCCAGGTGGGAGGTTTGGGTCAATGCCAGGACCTGGGGAGGATAAAAATGGTGGTCTGGACTAGCCTGGATATTTAGGCTCCAATAAATGGATAGGCAATGGGTTCTAGTCTGGGTCTCCTGAATGGCCTTGTGGTGCTCCCAATAAAGGTCTGGGACCCGGCCATATCCAGTTTGGCTCAGTGGATAGAGAGTCTGGCTGTGGACTGAAGGGTTGCAGATTCGATTCCAGTCAGGGGCAGGTACTTTGATTTCGGGCACATCCCGAGTGGGGTGTGTGCAGGAGGCAGCTGGTTGTAGTTTCTCATGGATGTCTCTCTCTCACTCTCTATCCCGCTCTTCCTCTCTGAAAAATAAATAAATAAACAAATAAATTAATTAATTAATTAATTAATTAATTAAAAAAAGGTCTGGGACCTGGATGTAGGTCTGACACCTAGATGAAGGTCTGGGTCCTGGGAGGGCAGGGTAGGACAAGGATGGAGGAGGTCTGGGCCCCTGAAGGCAGTCTAGCACCTCACGTGGACATCTCGGTTATGGAATGATGGTCTAGTTTATAGATGGAGAACTATACCCTGATAAAAGAGTGGATTCGGTGTTTCAGGCCTAGGCCTAGGATAATCTTCTAGGCCCTGCCATGATGATCTGGGATCAGGATGGAGGTCTGAGCTTCTAATGGAGGTCTAGGTCCTGGGAAGGGAGTTTGGGCAGAGTAGAAAGGTCTGGGCTTCTTTGTGTGGTCTGGTACATCAACTGGACATTGGGTTATGGAATATTCGTCTGGGTTCTGCCTGGAGATCTAGTCCCATGATACACCACTGTGTTCTGTGTTTATGGCCTGGGCTCCGGGTTGGCATTCTCAGCCTGCCATGATGTTCTGGAATCCGGATATAGGTCTGAGCCCTGGATGTAGGTCTGGGTGCTTGGAGGGAGGTGTGGTCACTAGGGGGCGCAATGGGCCCAGCTGGGAGGTTTTGGTCAAGGGCAGGACCTGGGGATGATGAAATGGTGGTCTGGACTAGCCTGGATATTTAGACTCCAATAAATGGATAGGCAATGGGTTGTAGTCTGGGTTCCCTGAATGACATTGTAGTGCTCCCAATAAAGGTCTGGGACCTGGCCACAACAGGTTTTGCTCAGTGGATAGAGTGTCTGGCTGTGGACTGAAGTGTCCCAGGTTTGATTCCAGTCAGAGGCACCTACTTTGGTTGCGGGCACATCCCCAGTCTGAGGTATGCAGGAGGCAGCTGATTGATGTTTCTCATGGATGTTTCTAACTCTCTATCCCACTCTTCCTCTCTGAGAGAAAAAAAAAAAAAGAGGGGGGGGCGGGAAAAGGTCTGGGACCTGGATGCAGGTCTGAACCCTAGATGAAGGTCTGGGTCCTGGGAGGGCAGTTCGAACCAGAGAAGGAGGTCTGGGCCTCCGAGGGTGGTGTGGTACCTCACGTGGACATCTGGGTTATGGAATGGTGGCCTGGGTTACAGATGGAGAACTATACCCCTAATACAAGACTGAATTCTGTGTGAGGTCTGTGCCCGGCGATAATCTTCTGGGCTCTGCCATGGTGGTTTTTTAACCAGATGGAGGTCTGAGCCCCTGATGAAGGTCTGGGTCCTGGGAGGGCAGTTTGGGCCAGGGAGGGAGGTCTGAGCTCCAGTGGACTGTCTGGTACCTCAACTGGACATTGGGTTATGGAATAGTGGTCTGGGTTCCACATGGAGATCTAGTCCCCTGATACACCACTGTGTTCTGTGTTTATGGCCTGGGCCCCGGGTTGGCATTCTTGGCCCCACCATGATGATTTGGGACCCGGATGTAGGTCTGATGCCAGCAAAAATAATGGGCTCACAAAGTTGTGTTGCTTTAATCTGTGTGGCAAAAGTTTCTCGTATGGCATATTGAGAGGATCTGCCAGTGACCTTGTCAACCAGTTTTCTCCTTCCAGTTGCCCTGCTGACATTGGAGCCAAGACACAATCATTCCTTGGGACTCTGTCAAGTACTTCCTATTTCCATTCTTCAAATG